CTCAACCGCAGCCTGAACCTGCTAGAGACTGATATAATTCCAACACCGTGAACGTTATTTCATTTATTTAAGAAATTGTGAATATTGACTGGTAAACCATAATTAAGGTTGATATATTCTTGATCAGTTTGAAACTTTGAACTAAGATTTTCTTTGTATAATACATAACATATGTGTGTGATTATAAATTGCGAAGCCCAACAACCCTTTATAACATTTTTATATACTAATGTTGTTTAATTTTTTTATGTATAGAAGCAATGAAATATTAGACTATACTTATATGCCTTGTGGCCCAATGGTAAGCAACCATGCCTTCTTAATTTCTCTAACACTTATCTTTCATTCATGTCGTTTGCTTTGCAATTAATTTCACACGCAATCACATTCGTCCATTTTATTTATTTTAGGTGAATCACACTCTCTTCTTATTTGGTAGACTACTTGTCTCTGTCTCCAAAAATTATGAGGCAGCCCTGAAAATTACAAGCCTATTAGTTTGAAGGGTTAATTGTTTTATTAGTCCCTAAACTTGGATCCGATTTGCATTTGAGTCCCTCAATTTTCAAAATTGTTTTCGTGGTCTTTCAACTTCAATTTTGTTAGGACAAATGATTCTATTTTCAATTTTGTTAACTTTTCTGTTAAATATAGGGGCAAAATGGTATTTTTGTATCAAAATTGATTAAAAAATAATTTAAAAAACTATCAAATTAAAATTAAACTCTCCCTCTCTTCCTCTCCCCCTCTATCCCAATTTCTACTCCCCTCAAACTTTTTTTTTTATATTGTTGGTTTTTTATTTGATTAGATTTTATTGTTATTTTAAAGATATAATTTTTTATTCATTTTTTTAAATTTTAAAATACCATTTTACCCCTGCATTTAATGGAAAAAGTTAACAAAATTGACGGTAGGGCCATTTGTCCTAACGAAAGTGAAGTTAAAGGACCACGGGAACAATTTTAAAAATTGAGGGACTCAAATGCAAATCGGGTCTAAATTCAAGGACTAATAAAACAATTAACCCAAATTTGAATGTGATGTGAGACAATGCCTCCCAATAATAATAAGTCAGACAATGCCTCCCAATAATAATAAGTTGTCTCTTTCAACAAGTTGAAGACTCAAACCACACATGTTGCTGCTGCTATCAAATTCATAAATTTTTTGCTTGCCATACATATAATTTGGAATATCAGAGGGGGGTAAATCGGTGCTAGTTTATCTTAGGAGACTTTTCAAGTTGAGGCAGTTTCAACTGGAAATTACCAAAGACTTCATGACAATTTTTCTTTTTACTAAAAAAATCAACGATTGAGATAAATTATTGAGTGGTACTGTAATTAATTGTCAAAATTTTATACGCATAATAAATTATAAGTGAATATATCACCAATTGATGTAGTAATACTATACCACTCAATAATTTCTGGAGGAGTGATTTAATTAGTTGATCAATTCAATGCTTCTCTTAATCCTCAAACTCCAAGCACATAATTCCTGCTTTCAAATTGTGATCTTTGAACTTGGAGAGCCCAAAGTCAATTATATGACATTTTTTTAATTTTGGGTACATTTTCGTCAATATGCGAGATTTAACAAAATCTTTGTACGACTCTTTCCCATCAAAGATTTTAGATCCGTGTGAAGCCTGTTGTTTCCTTGTTTCTTTATCTTTATCTTTATCTTTTTCTCTTTTGCTTTTTTCCTCATTCCGAAACATCAAGGACACTCCAACCACTGGCTTTCTCTTTTTCCAGTTTTGAGCTTTTCTCCCTCACTATGTAAAGAATGGTTCCTACGCTCCATGTTTTTTTGGCACATGATTTAAATTTAAAAACCCAACAATTATTCAGCAGTTTATCTTAAATATTCTAAATTTTAAATAAGTTTCTATAAAAAAGAGAAAAGAAAAAAAAGTTAGCTGTAGATGTCGTTGCTTCTAGAACGACCTGCGTATGTAACATTAGAGTGTTCAAGTAATGTTCACTGTCATCATGCCTCTAATTATTTTGGCTCGAAAATGATGTTTTATAATTATTCATTATGTTTCCATTCAATTTGGACCTGTCGTTAGAAATTGTAGATAAAGATTAAACCATTGTTTGGTTGAGAACTTTGAGACCAATGGTGCTGATTGCCGACACCAATATTATTAATCCAGTGTCAAATTTTTGTTTTATTGAATCTTCTTCTCATTTGTATTTACATACAAACGACTCACTCGTATAGTGATTTGAAGTAATTGTTCCCCCAAGTAAGATTCTGGGGTCAAATCTTAGCATCCGTATTGTGTGTGTGAGTTTAATATATATACCTCTCATTAGGAAAGGTCCTAAAAACAACAGCTGCACATAATAGGCTGTTATATTCAAAATTTAGCCCAAATTATACTGGAGAGCTAATGTATTTCTGGCCTCAGATTTACACAATAATAAGAAGGCGAAGACAGTTGGTATATTTAATAAAATTAAAAAAAGATAAAATTGGCTAGTACAATTGGCATGCATAATTTCGATAGCGGCACAATCAATGGGGCTTCAAAGAAAACTTCAAACTTAAGCCTGAAGCAAGTTGGCAAGCACCAATAATGCCGGCCACAATGCAAAAAGCCCTTTTTGTCTTCCCCACTTTTGCCTGTTGCTTTCTCTTCCACCCTCTGCTTTTCACAAAAGACATACACAATTAGAATTTTAGTGCTTCTAGTTTTTACATTAAAGTTAAACAAACACTGCATAATTCTAATTTAAATTGGAGAGCTCCTTATAATCAATCCATTTTACATAATTACTTACCAGTGTCCATGCTCCGCATGCACATGTTCATCATGACCTTTCCCTCTCAGAGTCTCTGCAATTAGTGCTTCAATTCACGCCTTGTTGACTGAGTGACTGGTCCAAAACAATTGACCCCCCATGACAAGTTTGCAAAGTAAACCATGCTGCTGCTTAATGCGTGGTTAAGCATGCAATTAATGATAGAAAATGTCAACTAAGCCACCTTGTTAAGCATCGTATTTTAGACTGATCTGACCTGTTCAAACTAATCATACCATGTCTATAAACCAACCCGGCCCAAAACATACATGTAAGACAAAGTAAAACTTCTGCAGTTTCTTTGTTTCTAACAAGAAGAACAGTCGTTATAAATATAAATCATTGCTTCATGATTAAACCAAAACCACAAAAATACCACAGAAAACAGAGAGATGCAGTCACCTTGTTTGAAAGAGGTCTCAGAAGTCTGCCTTAGCAGCTGCTGCTCCGCCCCCTTGTTTAAGTTGTCGGCGCATCACGATGCCATGCCCAAGTCCAGAAGCACTTCTGCAGCTTGCCGCCGTGACTTTGCAGCCACGACTTCATCATCCATCTTCCCAAACATCCAGTTCACCAACCATGAGTCTCTCCCGTCATTGCAAGAGTCTTTCTCTGACTTCACCAAAGTTTATCCTCGATACCAGGAGACTGCCCAAGTGGACCAAATAAGAGCTCAAGAATACTACCATCTCTCACAGTCAAACCACACCTGCCTTGATTATATTGGCATCGGCCTCTTCTCCTCTTCCCAGCTGCACAAACAGGAATCTTCTTCCCAACTGAATTCAGATTTCCCCTTCTTTAGTATATCCTACAAGACGGGGAATCTGAAGACACAGCTACTTCATGGCGGCCAAGAATCAGCACTGGAATCTGCAATGAGAAATAGAATCATGGATTTTCTTAATATTTCTGCAAATGATTACAGCATGGTTTTCACCGCCAACAGAACATCAGCTTTTAAACTTGTGGCAGAATCTTACCCGTACAAGACTAGTAGAAAGCTTCTGACAGTTTATGACTACGAGAGTGAGGCAGTGGAAGGAATGATTATTAACTCAGAAAAGAGAGGAGCCAAAGTCATGTCAGCAGAGTTTTCGTGGCCGAGGCTGAGGATTCAGTCGGCGAAGTTGAGGAAGATGGTTGTGAGTAAGAGGAAGAAGAAAAAGAAAAGGGGTCTTTTTGTCTTTCCAGTGCATTCTAGGATAACTGGTTCCAGATATCCTTATGTATGGATGACCATGGCTCAGGAAAATGGGTGGCATGTCTTAGTTGATGCTTGTGCATTGGGGCCAAAGGATATGGATAGCTTTGGCCTCTCTCTCTTTCAACCAGATTTCCTCATTTCTTCTTTCTACAAGATTTACGGGGAAAACCCATCTGGCTTTGCATGTCTCTTTGTCAAGAAATCTGCTATTTCATCTCTAGAATCTTCTACAAGTACAGGAATTGTAAATCTTGTCCCAGCAAAGAAATTGCTTCAGATAGCAGGGGATTCTTCTGGTACCGACACAGAGCTTGAACAGATATCTAGACTTGGCTTGCAACTAGATGCATTGGGCACAGCAAGTTCTTTCTCTGGTCTGATATCCAATCACACAACACAGACAAGAAGATTGGAACGAGAAGGCTATGAGAGTACAGAAGAAGGTGCAAACCGGACAGGACTAGAAACTTCAGAGATATGGGAATCAGAGACACAAGCCAATTTAATAAAGGATAAAAATTCCAGAAGCAGCAGAAATGGGGACAGCCTAGAGGTTGTATGCAGGGGCTTGGATCAAGTGGATTCACTGGGGCTAATGATGATCACTAACAGGGCAAGGTACCTCATCAATTGGCTGGTGAGCTCACTGAGAAAGCTTAAACATCCTAACACAGAGGGATTTCCTTTGGTCAAAATATATGGGCCAAAGATCAAATTTGACAGGGGACCAGCTCTGGCATTCAACGTATTTGATTGGAAAGGAGAAAAGGTTGAGCCTGTTCTTGTACAGAAACTAGCTGATAGAAACAATATTTCTCTTAGCTATGGATTCTTACATCATATCTGGTTCTCGGATAAGTATGCAGAAGAGAAAGGGAGAATCCTAGATAGAAGAGAAGGTGGAGTGAAAGGAATGGATGCAAACAAGTTGAAGGCCAAATCTGATCTAGGAATATCTGTGGTTACAGCTGCACTTGGATTCCTAGCCAGTTTTGAAGACACATACAGGCTTTGGGCTTTTGTTGCACAGTTCCTGGATGCAGACTTTGTGGAGAAGGAGAGATGGAGATATACAGCTCTTAATCAGAAAACCATTGAAGTTTAAGTAACATATATTTATATATTTGTTTATTATCTAATTGATCCCCAAGTATAGAAAATCAAACATCCTCGCAGACAAGATTCTGTACATATGGAATTTAAACTGTAAGAGGAAAACAAAAATGTAGTACAGTTTCATTCATTCTTTCAGAGATAAGAGTTTCAGAACCTTTCAAAAGATTTCATTAGCTTGTTATGCAATCTTATATTTGGTTACCTAAATCTTACCCTTCAACAAATTTAAGTCTATTACAGCTATGAGTTGGAATGAATTAAATTATCTTCATAGGCTCAGATAGAGGGGAAATCTAAGTAACAAGAGGAGGAGGTTCAATCGGTGGTGAGATCAAAAGCCCAGATAGACACCTTTCCTCTAAAGAGAATATTCTAAGTTGGAACCATCGAATCCCCACTCACCAAAATATCAGAATTAATAACATAAAAATAGTAGCACAAAATTTGAAGCAGCTATTATTGCCCAAATCTACTTCTTGTAAAATTGATGCATGGGTCTTTAAATTAGGATACTAATAATGTCATGAGTGTTACTTGTCCTGATTTAAAGAGTAATATGCCAAAAAGTATGAAATGGCCTCAACTGAGAAAAACATGAAGGTATATACTTATCTTATCAGGAATGGATGGGGAATATCCCTTCAAGATAGACTTGATTAGCAAGGATGTTCAATAGTACATGGATATCCTCATGTTGAGGGTGGCTAGTATCCCCAACTAAAAATTCATGCGCCTTACCATCCACCTCTATAACACTAGACCCGGGGAACTTTTGTATACCTTTCTTCTTCATCAACCTCCTTACCCTTGTTACATCAGCCCATCTTTCATTAGTGGCATATACGTTTGATAGGAGCACATAAACCCCACTATCTTGCAACTTGAGTTGCAGGAGACGGTCTAGTATTTCTTGAGAGAGATCAACATCACCTTTGGCCTTGTAAGCACTTAGAAGAGCTCCCCATATCAGCACATCAGGTTGCATGGGCATAGTGTTTATCAATTCCCGAGCTTCATCCACGAGTCCAGCCCTACATAGCAGATCAACCATGCATCCATAGTGTTCTAACCTTGGAGAAAGATTGTAAGGTTGTTTTATCATCTGATAAAAGTACCCACGGCCTTCATCAACCAAACCAGAATGGCAGCAAGCTGTCAAAATAGCTAGAAATGTCACTGCATTTGGCCTGGTGCCAGACTTAGTCATGTCTTCAAAATTTTGGAGTGCCTCATGCCCATTTCCATGCATTGCTAAACCACCCAGTAACGCATTCCATGTAGAGACATTCCCACAAGGCAATTCATTGAAAGTCTGCAATGCCATCTTTATACAACCACATTTCGCATACATATCAATCAGAGATGTTCCAATATGGATATCCCATTTGATTCCTCTACGATCGATATACTCGTGGACCCATCTACCATAATCAAGAGCCCCAAGACTGGCACACGCTGAAAGCACACTAGCAAGTATAATTTTATCAGGCTCGATGCCTAAGCTTTGCATGTTGCAGAACAATTCCAGTGACTCCCTTGGACGTTTACATTGTACCAATCCACTTATCATGCTAGTCCAAGATACAATGTCCCTTTCAGGGAGCTCATCAAATATTTTCTTTGCATCACATAAACTCTCACACTTAACATACATATCCACAATAGCATTGCCTACCACCAAATTTGTACCCAATGAACGCTTGAAGATTAATCCGTGAATCCGCTTCCCCACCCTCAAATATCCCATTCGCCCACAAGCCACAAGTACACTAACAAAAGTTGCCACATTCGGCTTCACATCCATCCTGAAAAACAAAGATATAGCCTCGTCAAACAATCCTGCTTTAACATAGCCAGATATCAGACCAGTCCAAGAGACCACATCTTTCACAGGCATCTCATCAAACACTCGGATGGCACCACCACAATCACCACAATCACCACAAACGCTATAGAAATGCACAAGCGAGTTCTGAGCATAGACATCACACTGAAAACCCATCTTAACAACCACCCCATGAACCTGTCTTCCCTCTCCCTTTCCCAAAAACTTAACACAGGATTTCAAAACCGCTGGAACAGTGTACATGTCAGGCATAAACCCATCTCTCACTATCCTTCTATAGAACAAAACCGCCGCCCTTGGCTTGCCACCATTGGCATAGCCAGAGATCAGCGTGTTAAATGGAAAAGAGCTGACGCGCCAATCAACTTGTTTCAAAAAGTCACAAGCGTAATCAACAGAATTAACATTTTTTCCGAGAAAACCAACAACATTGTTAGCAACCAAGTCATTGCAAGCTAGGCCAGAAGTTACTATTTGTGCATGGATTTGCTTGAAACATCTCAAGCCGCTGCACCTATCAATCAAATCCAAGAGAACCCATTTAAGAGAATGCATAGTACTACTCATCATATCAGCTACACAATGTCCATTTCGAGAAACAGCACTCTGAATTCCCCATTACCAAAGCTCCCATCCATATAAAGGAAACGATAACCTCTTTCTTTACTATTGTGACCCAAATTGAAAGGCATAACATAGAAAATTCCATTGTTAACCACAAGCGTGCTCATAAAGAGAGAGCATTCATTGATGCATCCAACTCAATTGTAGTTTCGACTTGAGAGAGACTTCAAAACTGGAAAGAAAAAAGAAAAAAGAGAGAGAGAGAGAGAGGTGAACTGAGCATTTGCAGAGGAACATAAACTTTGCCGAAGTATCCAACTCAATTGTAGTTTCCAGTTTCGAGTGAGTTCCAAACGCCAGAATTGTGATCAGACCCTTCCATTGCTTCGAATTTGAGCACGAGCAACATCGAACATCCTCGGATCGGATTGTCATCCAAACGACGTCGCTCTTTTCGTTAATTTTTGTTTGGGCTTCTGAACACCCGCTTCATCACACACGTTTTGGTCTTATTTGTAAACCCACAAAGAAACATGTTCTGGGCTTGACATAGTACGGTCCATGCTGTCTTGTGTTAGGATTGGACAGGATTACGTTTATGAGCCCTTTAAGACGTCTAATAAATTGGGCTAGGACATCCATAAAATTACAATCACAAGAACAGCTACACATGAGACGCGTGTAACGATGGCCAGCCTGGAATTCTAAAAAGTATGACCTAAAAGGATGGGCGGGGACCACCACGAGGGGTCAGCGTAAAAATAGAACCAGCCGGACCCGCATACCAAAGGACACGTGCCTTCATCGCATGGAGATGACCGCACTTCATGGCCCACACTGAGCCACTCGGCTTGGCCCACCACGCCCCACCAAAACTTTCGCTACTATTGTGGAACCCACCAGAGCACCACCCTGCACGTGCGCAACCCAACCTCAAGCGGACTTCTTCGCTTCCTTTTTGCCCTACAGCCCGAAACGGGTCTCACCTCACACGTGCAACACAACTTCACGTGACCAGGAGTTTGCAAAAGATTATTTCCAATTGCGAAAGATTAAAGTTTAAAGTTTAAATCAAAAATTGAATAGTAATGCTACTTGCTTGCTAGCAAAACAGAAGCAAAGAAAAGGGGCCTTGCATTGGTAAAACCCAGATTAAACAAAACCAAACAGGATGAGTTTTTTTTGTGCATTACAAAAAGGCCTAAAACGCTAAAAACACCCCTAACCCTAAACTAACACTAGAAATTTGTTGACTAAAAAGCTCAATCTAAGGCTTAGAGTATGGTGTTTGTGAATTTGCACCCATGAACTGAAGCTCTCTCTTATCATAAATCTCCAAAGAAAAATCCCTCAACATCTGAGTTGTTGTGGCACTAGCAGCAGCAGCAGCACTAGCACCAGTCTCACTACCAGTAGAAATGGTGTTCTTATTAGCTCTGGTTCCTGAGGCTGTGCCCAAACTAGGTCCCAAACTAGACGAACAACTCCCCCCCGAACCCGAAGTGGCACCGCTCGAAATCGAACCCGAAGAGGCCTGCAACTGCACATCCCCACTAACAACGTGAACACCTGGTTGAAAAGCCGACAAGAAATTGGAGATGGGTCTTGCTTGGAAATTGAAAATCGGGGTAGCAGCATCCGCAGCTGGAACAGCCCAAAGCTGGGGCTGGTTTGGGTTCATAGCCCCGTTGTTTGGGAACATGAAGAAAGGCCCAGCTGCACCAGTTGCCCCAACTTGCCACATGGGCACCAACCCATGTGCCCCACCGCCACCGCCTCCGCCGCCATAGCTCATTGGGGCCAACCCACTAGACACAGAGCTCTGTTCATGCACATCAACGAACTCACTGTTCGACCCTCTCTTCCGTCGCTTTCTGGGTATTTCAGTAATCTCACCGTTGGGTCTCGCCGGTGAAGTTGTGGGTATCTTTAGAGTGCCACCGACGGAGACGGCGATGGCTGGGACTGTGCCCGTGCCCGTGGCTTGCATAATAGCAGGCTCGGCGTGCTCGAGCAGCCACCTTATGGTTTCGCCGTCGGACTTGTGGCCAAGTTCTCGGGTCAGTTGAAAAATCCTGGCTGCACACGTGGCGGGCATTCGGATCCTCCGGCCCCGGCCCTCCACCTTCGTGTGGCGGTCCTTCGACGACCTCTTTGCCGCCACCACTTGTTTCTCCGGCGACGTAGGAACCGGCACCTGAATAAGACCCATAGGCAGAGATCCTTCGTCCAGTTCTTGCACTGTGTCGCACACGGGGCGGGCATTCGGATCCCCCGGCCCCGGCCCTCCCCCTTCGTGTGGCGGTCCTTCGACGACCTCTTTGCCGCCACCACTTGTTTCTCCGGCGACGTAGGAACCGGCACCTGAATAAGACCCATAGGCAGAGATCCTTCGTCCAGTTCTTGCACTGTGTCCGTCAGCTCTTCTTTCATCGTCGGCGCCGTCAACGAAAATATTTTCTCCGGAGGGTCCGCCACTGATGGGTCGGATGCTGAGGTGGTGTTGTCGTTGCTACTGCTATTGCTGTGCTGTTCAAGCTCGTTGCTTTCTTCAAGGCTCTGCCTTTGATTCGGTTCCATCTTCAACGAAAGTCTGAGAGAAAAAATCTGTTGGATTTCAAGAATCGCAGCGACACTCAGAAATTTTTGGAAAGCAGAAGAAAACCCAGAAAAAAACACACGAAAACAAGCTAAAAGAACGAGGAAATTTCACGAATTTAAAATCAGTAAATCTGGGTTAGCTGCAGAAGCAGAGCAAGAACAGGGCATGATACTTTGACTGGGTTTGGAATCTCTGTTCATACTAAGGGGACTAATTGAACAAATAGAAAGTAAAAAAACAAAAACAAAAATTGTTGGTAATGTAAAACAATTATGAAATCAAGGAACAGGAGAAAGGAGAGAGAGAAACAAACCCTAGAGAATCAGAAGAGCCCCACTTATCCTCTTTTCTCTTTGCGAGCCCTACCACCACCAAGAGGGACCCTCAAGCGCTTTATTTATTTATTTATAGCGGATGGGGGTCCTATCAACGGTTCGAGACTCTTCACACACATCCTGGGCCATGGAGATGGTGACACGTGATGGTTCCCTGTTTTGTTTAAGAAGGTACGTTTTTTAAAAACCTGGTGATTTGATCTCTCGGTGTGATTTTGTGGGTTCAGAACCTCAGGATTGGGCCTTACATAGAGGTGATCGCCTGCAACGCGGTCCATTTGATGATGAGTATTACTAATCATGTCATGCCACCTAATCATCATCAAGAACCCTCAAAAGTCATCCTTATCCACTTGTGGGCCCCACACATCCCACGCATAAGATTCTTTAGAGAGAGTAACCGATGTGGTGGAAACCTCTTACATTAACGATTGACAACCATTCACACGCACGTTTGTGAGCAATTGTCGTATCTTTGAATGATATTAGATTTGGTCACATACTAGTTCATGCTTTTCCAAGAATTTCATTTCCTTATTTTCTTTTCAATATTCTGATTTTTAATGTAGCAATTAACACACAATAAATTTGCTTGAGAAAAGGGTATTTGTTTGTACAAGTCATGATATATGCACATAATTTTTTTTGTCTTGAGGGTCCTAGTCCTCGACATGAAAAAATGAATCTCAAGTCCAACTTCACCCTCTTCAATATCCTATTTTCTTTTTAAACTTGTTCGCATTTGAATTAGGATATAGTTATGTGAGTCTCAAGAAAATAATAAGAACCTTCCCAATTCCCAACAGGAAAGAAAAAAGAGAAAAAAAGAATAGTTTAGTATATAATGTAATTTGCAGTAGCAAAATGTTGTACTCTCTCTCACCAACCCCACGCATAAGCATAACCAAACTTGATAGATATAAGCCAACAGTCACTTTAACATTAATGGTGTAACAATGTGAGTTTTGCTTCTTTCTTCTCTTTATATTTATAAATTGGAATACTTCAATTTGAATCAATCAACTAGACGTTGATCCTACTAGAAAAATAGCTTAGGTAGCCCTAATAATTAGGTGGATCACAGGCCAAAAGCTCTAGGTCAATTTTGCAATACATACAGATTGAGGTTGTTCCTCCATTGAGTAACTTGAAAGTACGATCAATATGTAATGTACACAAAATATTCCTCAAATGTGTATATACTTGTTATTAAAATCACTATATATACTGGTTCCATTGAATTTTCTCAGCACATTCGAATTAACATCTCTTGGTTTTGTGAATTTTGTATCTCTTTGTCCAATAAAAATGGCAATGTATGCACCAAAAACAATCTTGTTCCACACATTAATCTGTCTTCTGTTAACTATGGCTTCACAGTCAAAAGCATCGCTCGATTCCAACTATTATCATCAAACGTGTCCACAAGCTGAGAAAATCATATTACAGACGGTATATAACGCTTCCATGCACGACTCTAAAGTCCCAGCTCGTATCTTAAGGATGTTCTTTCATGATTGTTTCATAAGGGTATAATCTCTCTCTCTCTCCATATTAATATTAATGTAGAGTTAGGTGTATAATTAGCTTGTGTTTGCTTATTGGTTACTTAGGGATGTGATGCATCGTTGCTGCTAGACTCAACCCCAGGGAACCAAGCAGAAAAAGATGGTCCTCCCAATATCTCAGTCCGATCATTCTACGTGATCGACGATGCCAAAGCTAAGCTAGAAATGGCATGTCCACGCACTGTTTCTTGTGCTGATATCATTGGCATTGCCGCAAGAGACGTAGTTACCATGGTACGTCCCATACGTTTATGTTACTAAATTTATGTTGCCTGACAAATGTTTATGTATACAAGAACAATATGTACATTATTTATTTCTTGATAGTCCGGAGGTCCTTACTGGAATGTGCTAAAAGGGAGGAAAGATGGTAGGGTTTCAAGAGCTAACGAGACCATCAACTTACCAGCTCCAACTTTCAACGTATCCCAATTGATCCAAAGCTTTGCTAAGAGAGGCTTGGGTGTTAAAGAATTGGTTGCCCTATCTGGCGGCCACACTCTTGGGTTCTCACATTGTTCTTCTTTTGAATCCCGGCTTCGAAATTTTACTTCATTGCATGATGTTGATCCAAGCATGAACAATGAATTTGCTCAAAAGCTAAGAAAGAAATGCCCAAAACCAAACAGGGATCGCACTGCCGGAGAGTTGTTGGACTCAACCTCCTCAACTTTTGATAATGATTATTACAAGCAATTAGTGGCAGGAAAGGGCGTGTTTGGATCGGATCAAGCGCTGTTTAGTGATTACAGGACTAGATGGATTGTTGAATCATTTGCTAAGGATCAAAGTTTGTTCTTTAAGGCCTTTGCAGCTTCTATGGTGAAACTTGGAAATGTTGGCGTGATTGGGGATGGTGAAGTGAGACTGAATTGCCGAGTGGTGAACTGATCAGACAGAGAGAGAGAGAGAGTGAGTAATAACCCAAAGATTTTTCTCTTACTAAATTGTTCCCAATTTGATAACCAATTATGTAACTTTGATTTCTTGTTTTAAAAATAAAATAAAAGGAAAATGCTTAGTAACCCAACAATGGTTAGTGACACGAAACTCTCTTCAAGAATGTTATTTATTTAACTTATATAATCTACAGTCTAACGGTGCGTTTGGATGAGGGAAATAAACTTGGGATTTTGACAAAAGTCAGAATTTCTAAATTGACATGAACCAATTCCCGTGTTTGGATAAAAAAACATAAAAATTTAGAAATTCCGCGTGGGAAAAAACATGGAATTTGGAGATCATAAATCCCAACTTTAAATTCCATCTAAAAGTCGTCATTTCTAAAATCCCAAGAGAGATTGAGTTTTTAAAAATATAACTTTACAAATAAAGGTTAAATTCCGTGTTTTAAATCCGTCACCCAAACAAAAAACTTTACAAATTCTAGAACATTAATTTCCGTTATTTTAAATTCCGTCATTTATGAAATCCTTTGTATTTTTAAATTTCCTCATCCAAACACATAACTACTCTAAATTGTGATATTTTAATTTTTAATTAATTAAGTTTCCATCAAGTTTGATTAGCTATTTGTTAATGCATAGATCCAAAGTTTTCACATTTTAAAAGGCCAATGTTTTTTTTTTTTTGAAGTATCAAATTTTGTTATTAAAGAAATAATCACGAATTCACTTTGTAAGTGTTTCCTTTCATGAAAGGCAAAATTAATGATAATAAAAAATAAATAGGTAGGTAGGTTCCCCTGAGCGATCACAGTTTTTTATTTTTCTTGTTGTTTGGTCGAACACTGAGCGCGATCACTTTAATTCACATAGTTCGTACACATTTATGTATACCAACCGATTAAAATAATTATACGTACGAATACGATCTCAGCATGATTAGAGTAGAAGATACAGAGCAATATTATTTGTTCCCCAGGTGAGTTTTAGTTTTTTAATTCCAATAATAATAAAATGGATTGGGTCGTCAAAGGCCCGGCCCAGAAAAATCACATGGGGCTTAAACAGTAGTGGCCTTAGTAATTGGAGGGAAATACCGATAAAACACAAAACCTTTGGTATATTTGAAAGAGGAGAATATATCATATGTCATATATGTAGTGATCTTTGAATTACCAGAAGTGTTTAAATGGTTAAGTCAATTGGTTTAAATTATGAGAGAGAGAGAGAGAGAGAGAGAGTGCCTTAATAATGGCCGTAAAATTAAAGTAATTGTGTGTGGCTAAAAAAAAAATACCACTTATTTATTTATCTATAATTTATATATATTAAGACTTATAACGTACTTGTTTCATCGTGCAGTACTCTAGCTGCAAAGGAATCGCTGATATACAGCAATAGCAGGAGTTTTAATGGATTTGTAGCTAAATTTTTAGATGAAGCAGCTACAATACTTGGAGGTGAAGTAAATATAAACAATTAAAAGAGTCACTATTTGTGAATATTATTTGAGTTTTGATAAAATCACATTCATTTACAGGAGATGGAAGACGTTGCCACAGTAACGGACTGCTGCAGCTTCATACAAGAAGATCATGGGACTTCCTGGGATTACCTCGGTCCCATGTCAAGCATAGAAAAGGGGGAGATGAAATCATTGGAATGATGGATTCAGGTGATGATCACCAACAGCAAACAAAACTCTTAACACCCAATAATAAAACTTTCACATGCAACAAGTGAGAAACAAACCCTTTTTCCAGTTTGGCCTTCTTACTAATTTGTCCTTATGTTTGAAACTAATCTAATGTACAACATTTTGACAGCAAAATCATCGGAGTGCGATACTATAATAGCCAAAACTTTTACGATACTACGGACATCATACCTCTGAGGGACTCAGTCGGACATGGGACTCACACAGCCTCCATTGCAGCAGGTAGAGAAGTGGCAGGCGCAAGTGTCTTTGGCTTGGCTCAAGGAATTGCAACGAGTGGAATTCCTAATGCAAGAATTGCTGTGTACAAAGTTTGCTGGGCAATGGGATGTAGCATTGCAGATATCTTGGCTGCTTTTGATGATGCAATTGCTGATGGAGTTGATATCATATCAGCTTCTTTTGGGATGTCTGCAGCTTACACCTTCACAGACCCGGTTGCAATTGGATCCTTTCATGCATTAAAGAAAGGGATTTTGACCATAACTGCTGCAGGGAACTATGGACCTCTTCGTGCTTCTATCAGTAATGTCTCACCTTGGCTACTTACTGTGGGGGCTAGCACTATTGACAGGAAGTTTGTGACTCAATTGGCTCTTGGAAATGGAAAAACCTTCATGGTGAGCAATTCTTACCTACCCTACTCTATAACTTTTGTCGTCCAAGAAACTTTCATCTCTAAAACTTTTTTCTCAAGCTAACAAGCCCTTGATTTCTTGACGATACAAAGGGGAGTGCTATCAATAACTTTGATCTTAAAGGAGACATGTTTCCCTTGATTTGGGGAGGAGATGCTTCAAACTATCCAGTCAATGCAAACTCCGAAACATCAAAATACTGCAATGCTGGAGATTTCGATTCACAGAAAATAAAGGGGAAAATTGTTCTCTGTAACTACCGATCAAACGATGCTGGCATTCTCCATACAGATGGAGTCGGAGTTGTAATGCCTTTTCAATCTGTTGACGATCCTGACTTCTTGTTTCGCATTGCAACAACACTCATCAGTCCAGAAGAAATTCCCAAAGTACCGGACTACATTAAGACTTCCAAGTAAATAACCAACAAACCGACCTATGGAAAGTTTTATAAACATTTATAACTTGGTACTCGTTCTTATTTTGTACCACTAAAACCTCAGGAATCCAAAGGCAACTATTCTAGTTATTGAAACATGGAAGGATCTATACGCACCATATGTACCCTCTTTTTCATCCAGAGGACCTAACCTAATGGTGCCTGATATTCTGAAGGTAAAGTATTGCTTTGTTTTGCCCTATAAACTACTTTCAATTTATATCTACTCTCACAATTTGATCCCTGGAATCAAATTAATAGCCTGATCTGATTGCTCCGGGTAAATATCCTTGCGGCTTGGTCACCGGTTGGAAGAGCTTCAGTTTACAGTGAGGACACAAGGAGTGTCAAATACTATGTAGAACCTCAATGTCTTGCCCACATGTAACCAGCTGCTGCTCACCCACGCTGGTCTCCTACAGCAATTAAATCTGCACTTATGACCACAGGTATGTCAAACAATCTACTCTTTGATTTCCTAAATTCTTTACACACCTTAATGTTTTTCCAATACAGCATACGTTGTGGACCCAAAAAAGCACGAAAATGAAAGAGAATTTGCTTACGGGTTGGGTCTCCTCAACCCAACCAAGGCAGTTGATCCTGGGCTAGTTTTTGATGCATCTGAGAAAGATTATGTTGACTTTTTTGCAAACAAAGCTACAACACCACCACGGTAAGAAAAATTACAGGTGACAAAAGTGTTTGCAGGGGCATCAAACCTGCTAGGGCATGGACCTCAACTACCCCTCCTTCTCTCTAGCTGTAGAAGATGGCCATGAGATCAAGGGCAATTTCCATAGGACTGTTACAAATGTTGGTAAACCGGACTCAACCTACAATGTCAGCATTGTCATGCCTGATTCTATAAAGGTTAATGTGGAACCATCTGTACTTTCATTCACTGATGTTGGAGAGAAGAAATGTCAATGGACCACACATAACTCAGGTTCCAATCATATCGGGTTCTATCACACGGAAAAATGGAAAACATGTGGTGAAATCCCATTGGTAATTTACAATGTGCTTCCATCTGTATTCCTTACCAATCCGGTACATCGCACACAGAGATTATCCACCCATCAGACACATATATCACCAGGCGAGAAAAGTTCTTTCCTAACTCACTAAAATAAGAATTGTCAAAGAAAAGAAAAATAAGCCTATATTGCCCAGACAAGGTGCGGAGGATCTGGTACTCTGGTTCTATCATCTCTTAATGTAGTAAGAAAACAGAAATAACATTTTCTTCTATAGTGAAGAATGTACTTACATTTATTTCTCTTTCTGGTTTATCAGCCAGAAGACAAAAGGTATTCCGATAGATATATACTATCTTTTACATTTTTTTTTCTATTTCTTTTTGCTTCTTGGTAGGTATTCCAAGTGAATTTCTTTGGAAGCATGTAATATCTTAAGAACAAAGAAATTCCAGATAAAAAATGAAGCAGTGTTCGTGAAGAGAATACACATTTCTGCTACTACATTTTTCAGTTATGGAGAAACCTTAAGAAGGCTTTCAGCTTTTACATGCTTATATCAGATAACGATCAAGCACTTAGCACATCAAGCAAATACTACATCGGAACGAAAAACATACTTGATACCCTTAGTAACGTTTCGAGCTTCATGCAACAAACATTTGTCTCCATGTATGTGTAGAAGAGCCATTCCTTCAGTGGGAGGCACCTACAGAATTTTTAAGTAGGATTAACGGGCGCTGCATATTCCATAAAATGCTACGATAAAACTAATTCAAGAAAGAGAGAAGATTTTAATTCTTGAAAAAGTTGAAGATAAAAATGAAAGGGAATAATAGAGAATAAAAGCAATATGGTATGAACAAAAACAGAACCCACCTCTGCCACAACAGTATTCCTCGAACCGTAGAAGACAGTTTCTCCTCCAACCAGAGGCTCTGAGGAAGAACCCTTAGGACTGCTCTTATCATTTGTAGCTTTTGGTTTGAAACCGCCACTCAAGTATATTAACAAAGTATAATGGGTGCGTTTTCCGTCTCCAAGATCATTACTTTCATCAATATGCCTTCCGAAGCGCTGCCCAACCTTGTACCTGAAAACACATGGCAACCAAAATAATTAAGTTTCAAGGTGCACAAGCCAACAAAATTCAACCTTTCTATTTTTGTTTGTAATCAGAGAAGAATTTCTCAAAGAACAAGTAAAATCCACGTCCCTTAATGAATGAAATCAGATAATGGACCAGCTCAAAGTTACAAATAGCTTTTGAATTGGTTCGATCGTGTTCACAGAATGAGATTACCAACCTATAGAATCTGATATTTGGGTTTAAGCCAACAGCAGCCTTCCCTCGAATTTTGATATCAAAAAATAATTTGTCAAGACCAGACTCCCAAATTGTGTCTGCAAGAACAGGATCATTCACAGAGATTCTATCATTGTCTCTATAAGCTTCGCCTTTTGTTGGGCCAAGACTCCCTTGGTGAACAAACCCAATAGATTCTGCAGCTTTAACGAAAGCCTTTGATTCAGCAGATGTGAGGAAATTCTGCACCTGAATACATTGCCTAACTATTAACAACCATGACTCAATTAATATCTTGCAGACGCGTAAATGTTCAATGGTTAGAGAAAATGTATCCATCTAAGAAGAACCCATATGCCAAAATACCAGAAGAAAAACTGAATTTCAAAAGAGATGCAATCTTTTTGCAGTTCTTACAGTAAAGAGATGAGTATCTTTAAGACAAGTTATCTGAAGATTTGATTTTGTTTTGATGGTTGGCCACTTCGACGCTGTTTTGCTGGAATCAGCTTCTCTTCTGTCTCCCATTTTCCTCTTGTTTGTTCGTGTTTCTGCCATACGATACGAGTATGGCTCGCCCTTCTTTTTTTTCTCGCCTACTCTGTTTTATGAGTTTGTCGAGGCCCATTTTCTCGAGTTGTGGCTTGTCAAGGCTTTGGCGTAATTGGGCTGAGCCTGCAGCTTACTTTTACCGTCCATTGAACCATTTGGTCCATTGCTATTCTTTTTACACCACCATGCATAGCCATATATGCATTGTCGAGCCGAAGTGAAAAAAAATAAGAACAAAAATAAGCACACCACCATCACCATGCAACGGAACTGATTCCTTCGCTTTGATTTTGTTCATGTTTATCTAAGTGATTTACTAAATATAAAACATTTTTTTGGAAGAATATAAAACTTTTTTTTTTAATGAAGAAAAGTTTAAGGGGAAAATGGGAGGGGAGGCTACACCATTACAGGTCAGGGCATACTAAATAAGGCCTCTTTGAGGACTTATAGAGGGGGTTCTTAGCCCTTTTTTGAGTTTTTACCAATTACCCATAAAGAGGGATTGTTTACAACAGGACTCGAACTTAAATCTGGACAGCAAGGGGAGAACGATCCTTACCAACTACGGAAGAATATAAAACAGCATAGAAACCCCTAGGAGTTATTTTTTAATTTTTGCCAAAATGAGTTAATTTTCAAGGTTAGTATATTTCAGCCCAGCTAAGTAAATATTAATCCGTAAAATATTGCATTGCCGGTAGCAAATATAATTAGAAGGATTTTATTTTATATAATAAAAAAAATTATAAAATAAAAATAAAAACAATGATTACTTGCGCATTTCAGATGCCATAAATTGAAGCGACTTGATTGAAACCTAGCATCGATCAACCACCAGCACCACAATCATCAAATCCCATATCACAGCCTAGTGTTCCACTGAGATAGCTAGGAAATCTTCCTATATCCTTTTTCTTTTAGGCTTATTTTTTGATATACCCCTGAAAGTGTATTTGAGTCTCACTTTGTCTCCTGAAACTCATTTTGTCTCACTTTACCTCATTTTTCCTACATTGTTGTTTCGCTTTACCCCATTTTTCATAAAATATTAATTAAAAATTAATTATTTACAATATTTTTATGGATTTTAAGTTTTAAAATTGAATTTTGAATTTTTATATTTTATGAAAAATGGGATAAAGTGAGACAACAATGAATTTTAGAGGGCAAAATGAGACTCAAATACACTTTCAGAAAGTATATCAAAAAATAAGACTAAAACTAATTGCGCTGAAGTTCATCTTAGCCTGTCCTACGTTTGCTTTTTCGCAATTAAGTGGAAGCTTGAATCACATTGCCGATGTAGAAAAGTAAAAATGGCTAATGCAATGCCAAAATATTCATAGAATGAAGCTGATCAGCAGCCCGACAAAAGACAAAAACTAAGGGCTCACCTCCACTAAATATCTTCGTTAGGAATGAAAATAATAATATTCTAGGACATTGGATTGTATGGATTTTAAGTTTTAAAATTGAATTTTTAATTTTTAATTAATATTTTATAAAAAAAATGGGGTAAAGTGAGACAAGAATGTAGGGAAAATGGGATAAAGTGTGATAAAATGAGTTTCAGAGGCAAAGTGAGACTCAAATACACTTTCAGGGAGTTTATCAATAAATAAGCCTTTCTTTTAATAGAAATTTAGTTATATACCCATTCTTAACACTAGTATTATAAATAAACCCTACATCATTTAAAACCCATAAACACACCCAAAAAACACCCAAAAATTGACAGCTGTCCTATTAACTTATATTGTATTCTGATTTTACCCTTTTAGCATAAAGTATAGAGGAAAACCCATGATCGCCAGCTCACCTTCTTTGAGAAACGTTGAATCCATAAAAGCATGCGAAAAATAAAACAAAAAACAACCTGGAAGCCATAAAAGTTGGTATCCCGAGAAGACCAATTGCTACTTTTTCTCAAATCTCAACCCAACTAGCTGATTTAAAAATTATTCTTTTTTATCATTTATTTAATAACAATTACTTTGTGGATTGAAGAGGAATGAGAAGAAGAAGAAGAACATCGACCATGACGATGCGCGAGCTCATGACTGGTGGAGTAGCTTGTGCGGTTCCAAGCTCATCTTCTTCCGCCAATCCTTTCGGTGCTCTAGCCAACGCTCTTATCGGCTCTTCTTCCAAGACGTAGGTTTGTCGTCTTCCTCTTCGCTCATTTCACTTTCAATTTCTCTTCTCCATTTAGAATTTTCAATCCTCAATTTCATCACCAGTGGCCTCAACGGCGTCATTTTCTCATGTTTTCGTTCGATTCACGAGCAGGAAAGGTTGAAGGTTGTCTTACCTTCAAACCCTCATCTCTCCTCTGTTCTCTCCCTTCTTCCCTCTCTCTACCTTCAAAGTAAACCAAACAGTCTCAGAGCCATGGACCAACACAAGACCGACGACAATCTCCGTTATGTCGATGGCCTCACACATGTTCATGCCGCCGATGCCTCCATTTCCTTTTCAGGTTTGTTCCATCTGTTTCAATTCGTTATTATCCTTTTGATTTTTGCTTAATTTACTTGAATTTTGACTCGATTTCAGTTTCTTCGTTCAATTTGGTGCTAATTTCCATTTTTTTCCGATATGAACATAGCTAATGGTTAAGCTCGCGGATTTGAGGTGTCAATTGCCGGACGAAGGCTTTCAGAACGCCAACGCCGGTGGTGATTGCGAGAAGAACGAAGATGAAGACGATTTCTCTTTCACCTGCACCAATCCCGACGGATCGCCAATTTCCACCGACGATATATTCCAAAATGGCCAGATCCGTCCAGTGTTCCCGATTTGCAACCATGATCTCCTAATCGCCGATGCCGACTACAATGATACTTCCAGATCCAGAGGGGCTGCCGCTTCGTCTTCCTCTCTGCGGTCGCCATTGAAGAAGCTCTTCTTTGAAAAGCTGGATACGCCGACCTCGGCAACGTCGTTTTACAACTCAGGAGGTGAACTCGAGTCCTGATCCATGAGATCAACCAGCTTCTGAGTTTGATCATCAACACCTATTAAAGCAACAAGGAGATCTTTCTAAACAAGCAGTGTTATTACCCTATACTGGAACTTTACAGTGGTAGACGTGCATTAGAAATAGGATTTCATAGAAAACAAGCAGTGTTATTACCCTATACTGGAACTTTACAGTGGTAGACGTGCATTAGAAATAGGATTTCATAGAAAACAAGCAGTGTTATTACCCTATACTGGAACTTTACAGTGGTAGACGTGCATTAGAAATAGGATTTCATAGAAAACAAGCAGTGTTATTACCCTATACTGGAACTTTACAGTGGTAGACGTGCATTAGAAATAGGATTTCATAGAAAACAAGCAGTGTTATTACCCTATACTGGAACTTTACAGTGGTAGACGTGCATTAGAAATAGGATTTCATAGAAAACAAGCAGTGTTATTACCCTATACTGGAACTTTACAGTGGTAGACGTGCATTAGAAATAGGATTTCATAGAAAACAAGCAGTGTTATTACCCTATACTGGAACTTTACAGTGGTAGACGTGCATTAGAAATAGGATTTCATAGAAAACAAGCAGTGTTATTACCCTATACTGGAACTTTACAGTGGTAGACGTGCATTAGAAATAGGATTTCATAGAAAACAAGCAGTGTTATTACCCTATACTGGAACTTTACAGTGGTAGACATTCTTCAGAAATAGGATTTCAGAGGAAACAATCAGTGTTAATACCCTGTATTGGAACTTTACAGTCATTAATCAGAAATTTCAGTGAACTAGCGACTAAAATAATGATAGTAAGCAGTCAGTGCAATAATGAAATCCAATATAGTTTCAAGATTTTGTCTTTGATTCGAATCTAAAATGCTGTTATTACCCTAGAATGGAACTTTATATAAATTTATCAACATTACAGTAAGTTCGGTGTTGAATGTCTTACCTTTGATGCGTTTTCGTGTTGAAATCGTTCTCTGAACTTTTCTCTTGGTTTTGAAAGCGAAGGTCACTGTGTCGTATTTGTTCTTGGTGCTTGGTGGTGGTTATGGAGTTTCTGTCTGATTGAAGATGGGGACGCTTTGATGAAGGTGAACGAAGTGACGTTTTGCAGAGAAGTTAATAAAAGCACGTGCTGGAGGTTGAGTTACTGTTTTTTTTTGGACAAAAGTTACGATTTTCTAGAGGTTAAAATGTTTGGGCTTGTTTATAAATTTGGGCTGGGTTGATTTTGGGTGTTTTTTGAGTTTTTTTTTTTCTGTTGGGCTTATCAATGGCAGCCTTGTAATATATAGGAACTTCAACACTAATTTGTTATTTAATAAATGGGTTTTGGGTGTGTTTATAAAGTGTTTTCCATATGGGGTTTTTTTTTATAATTTCAGCACCCATTTTGGGTATATTAGTGAAGCTCCCTTCTTTTAATCATCAAAACCTATATCCCAATAACCATATGACATATGTGGGAAAAACTTCTCTAGCGACATGAGCCAACCGAAAAGCTGAAACGACTTGAAAGAATCACTCTCGAAAATAACTTTTCTATAATCCCTTTCAACCACCATAATTTCTCCAAATCTAGTCTAATGACATCAATGACAAAAACTAGCCGCCAATTGGCATGACTCTAAAGAGACTAAAAACACCCAGCAAACTAAACTAAGTTTCTGAAATCATGAGAGAAAAACCCAAAAAACTCATAGAGTTTTTAGAATTTATTGAACAAACTAAACCAAAATAAAAAAGCTAAGCCGGCAAAAGAAAAACCAACCGCCACTAATCGTCATTCAGGACATGACATAAAGATCGCCACCTAGTTACTCCAGGGCCTCACCGCACCAATTAACAGTGAATCTACCATAAGCAAGTTGCAACACCTCAAGAGCAACCTTGCAAGATGAGATATAACCAAAGCCAACCAAGATTTGAGACAATAGATATGCCAAAATAAGAGGAGATCAACATAGGTTCACCAAAAGCCGAAGAACATCAAAGATCCGATGGGATCTAGAGAAAAACCCCTCGGATGTGAAGCTTTCTCTCTATTAGCGGTTAGGTTTTTGTGTGTTAAAAAAAAAAATTCAATATTAGGATTTAGGAATTGATCATCAAACATTCAAAAGGTTTGGAACTTAATGATACACATTTTGTTCTATATCAAAACGGCAAGATTTCCTCACTTACAAAAAAATTTCAAACGTAACAACTTCATTTTCAAAAGACAAATATGTAACACAATAGTCTAGTAAAATATAAATATTTTTTTTTTATTATTATCAAAAAGCAATAGAAAAGTAAAATGAATAAGATTTGTTCTCACGCATGAAAAGGCTAGTACATAATAAAAGGGTGCTGTTAAACAAACCCTAAAATTAATTGAGTACGCCCTATTATCAAACTATTTAGTGAATTACTAATTTACCCTTATATAAAATGACCAAAAAGAATATATTGAATTGTGAAACAAATGTAATTTTAATAAGTACACCATACTCATCATATTCAACCATAATCAAACGTAAGCGAAATTTTTTAATAATACTAAAAAAATCCTAAAATAAAATTATGTGGGCTTGTTAAATGGGCTAATCTCCCCCCTCCACCCACGGCAGCCCCTTCCTTCTCCATCACCACCACAATTCCCGTTCCCCTCACCCACTCCATCTCTCTTTGCCTCTCTCTACCCCTACGTCTTCCTCTCTCATTCCCTCCTGAAAGCACCATCCTCGTTCCTCTTTTCTTCTGAAGTTTATGGAGTTTAGGAGTTTTGTACTTTCCAAAAACTAAATATCTCCGCTTTGCTCTTGACTAAATTATGTTATGGACTTGTAGGAATGTTTGTAATGGAAAATGGCAAGCAAAGTTGTGGGATTAGGCCATAGACGAAGAGTACAAGGGTGGGGAAGGAGGGAGGGGCTGCCATGGGTAGAGGGGGAGATTGCGAACAAGCTATCCTTGTTTTTCTAATTTTCTAATTTTTAAAAATTATTTTAGGAATTTGTTTATTAATTTAAAGGACAAACTACAGTAAAACCCCCCAATCTATAGGGTCATTTACAATTCCATACCCGATTTTGGAGACATTTACAAGTACATATACAACGTTGCGGAAAACTTATAAATTGCCCCCTCCGTTAGCGAAACCGTCAGGAAATCTGTTATCTACCGACGTGGTGAATGTGGGCTCCATTTTTTGATGATGTGGACTTCCACGTGCACAAAAAATTATTTCCTGTTTAAATTATTTTAAAAAATCTCTCTCTCTCTCTCTCTCTCTCTCTCTCTTCCCAGCCTGCAACGAACCGAGAACTTTCTCTCAGAACCCAGAACCATCCCAGCCATAACCTCACCTCCATCTCCAGCCATCATCATCGTAACTCAAGAACCCAGCCCTATATGTATAATTTGTTTTCTTGAGAAGATGAGTCATGAGCCACAAACGTGTTGGCTCAGTGCATAGGTAATTCTAATTTCCAGATTTAGATGAGATATACACATCATTCATATCATAAAAGAAGTTTATAGAAAAACGTATGAGAGTTCCAGATTGAATGGGACGTACTTGGGATGAATTCGTACGAATGTTCCAGATTATTGGCTCTTCCAGGGATGGATTTAGGCAATTATTTTGACTCATTTTCTGTCTGAAAACCCCAATTTTTTTTTTCTGCCCTTCTTCTAAACTCAACAATGGCGTCTTCCTCTACAATCAAAATTGAGGGTCTTATCGGCTTGATTACTGTTCGGTTAATTAATGCTAATTTCATGAAATGGAGATTTCAGATTGAATTAGTTCTGCAAGGATTCGATTTATTTGGGTATTTTGATGGCTCCATTGTTCCTCATCCCAAATTTGCACTTCTTACTGCAGGGGGTGTTTCTTCTCAAATTACTGTAGCTTATCAGGAGTGGCTCAAAACTAATAAGGCGTTACTAGGTTTGCTCCTTGCGACTCTCTCTGATGAGGTGATTGATTATGTAATTGGCACAAAGACGGCTAGTGAGGCTTGGTTCGTGGATTGTGGGGTGGCTGGGGTTGCGACTGGGGCGGGGCTAGGTTCTTGAGTCCACGTCATAAAAAAAATGGGTCTCACTTTTGACACGTCAGCATTTAACAGATTCACTAACAGTCTGACTGACGGAGGGGGCAAATTGTAGGTTTTCCGCGACGTTGAGTTTGCACTCGTAAATGTCTCCAAAATCGGTTATGGAATCGTAAATGACCTTATAGGTTAGGGGATTTACGACAGTTTGTCCTAATTTAAATTTTTAGATGAATTAAAAAAATTAAAAATAGACCGACCTTTAATAGAAAATCTAACGGAAATTGACAGAGGTGGTAGATTAGCACCAAAACTGAAATTTAGGTGGCAAATAGTTAAATATTTTTTTGTTGGGTGGTAAATTTGCACAAGGGGTATTTTTGGTAGTTAAATAGGGTGTACCTAATTAATTTTATATTTTGATTTAAATATTAAGATATACTTAAATTATAAAATGTACTCAATTAATTTTAAGATTTGTTTAACAACACCCTAATAAAAAGAGCTAATCCACTGTGAAGAAACTTATGATAAAGTTAAGATATTAACTATAGTGAGTATTCTGTTTTCTTTTTTCAGGCAAGAGATTTGCTTGCCAGGCTTCCAGCCAGTATTTTTTTGGTTGATTAGCCAATGCTAATCCTTCCTTGAATTATCCCAAACACGTCCTCGTCTCGCTGCTAATACTCTCTTTCCCACTTATTTTATTTCCAACCTTATAAGCCTGCTTCGTTAACTAATAAGCACCTAAAAACGAAACAAATTTAAATGATAAAGAAAATGAAAAAAGTTAGACTCGCCACTCAAGGTTAGCCACGTGACACTGTCGTCTCCCATTGGAAAATATGACGACGGGATGCTGACAAAAGCTGATGTGCTGTCCTGTTCTTATTGGCCAGTCACGCAAAGTCATTGTACGATGATCTTGACATTGCTCCATCTCAAGACAATGAGGGATGAATAAAAACGAATGCCATTTTTTATTATTCCCAATGCGCTTCCGAAAAAGATCAATAAAAATATATTCCCTCTTTTACTTCTTCTTTGTTTCTTAATTTTGCCAAATAAGAGAAGCCATGCGCATTTAAGTATTGTTTTATCTCATTTTTTTCACTGTCTTTCTTTCCTCTAATTCTTATCCCTTTCTTTTTTTAGTGGGGTAGAATTTTTAAGACAAAAGAAGACACAGAGAATAATGGAAGTGAGCTATCGATCAATATGGAAAAAAGGGGTCGGGTGGCCTGAGGATAAAGAAATTGGAACATCCACAATCAGATAAAAAGAAAGTTCTTCCCTTCTGCACTGCACTGTGGACTATTTCTAGGGTTTCTGATTTCCATATTTGTATTCTATCATCCTCCTATACCCTTGTGTTGTGTCCTTTGTTGCTCTTTTTGGGTAATTCATGTCTATGGGTGGCGTCTCTGGGTTCTATTTTTAGAAACCTAATTTAACATCTTTTTTGGGGGCTTTCTTTTATGAATCCTCCTGGGATTTCATCTGCTAATTGTTGCGATTTTCTAAACTAAACCTCTCCTGGGTTTGCTTGGTTGTCACAGGTCCTTCACAAATTTTTACATTTTTCTCTACTAGCTAGTGTTCGAGCACTTCAAATCTTCGAGGGAGTTTCCAGGTGTAACTCTTCTCTACTAGCTTATTTCTTGAGCTATATATGTATAGCGCATCTTTACCAATTTTCATGGTATTATTATTATCTCATTATGATCTTGTAATTAATGATGGTGATGATCTAGGCTAGGACATGGTGAGAGGGAAGATTGAGATGAAAAGAATTGAAAATGCCACAAGCCGGCAAGTGACCTTCTCCAAACGTCGAAATGGGTTGTTGAAGAAAGCCTTTGAGCTTTCAGTTCTTTGCGATGCTCAAGTTTCCGTCATCATCTTCTCTCAGAAAGGCAGGCTATATGAGTTCTCCAGCTCTGAGTATGTTTCTGTATTTTTTTATATATACCTCATATGTATAAGTTTGAAGCCCCATTTTTTTCTTTATCTGTATGCTTTGTTTCTTAAAGATGGAAACATCATTTACTTTTTATGGTGTTGATGAGCAGGTATGGGTTGTTGTACTGGTTTTGAGGCCAGTGTGTACGATGATACAGACATATATATATATATATATATATATATATATAAAATATAGATTTCTAGCTTTCTATCCACTCTGGTCTTAAATTAAAACTTGACTTTCTATTTTATGTTTTATTTGTACCAACCGCATCTTACAAGTTACACATCTGCTCGTTTATAATCTAGTCAAATTGAGGTTTCTTTCTTGCTGCTTTTTAGGGGATTAATATTTGTCTTTTCTAACAATTTATGCACACTTTATAATTAGCGCATTAATATTGAATGAGATTTCATGGGGCTTTTCAAGTTTCAACTTAGCGTTTCTCCCTAAATAAATTATTGAAACTAGTGGTTCTTTGTTTTAATGCCTTTGTGCTTAACTTCTGGCAATTCAACTTCTTATTCTACTAACTAATGATTTTGTCCAATATTTCATCATTTCATGGAGTACTTGTCTGTGCATGCAACCCTTCTAGGCTTGCATTATATATGTTGTTAAAATTTTAGAGGGATGGATCAATATTCACTACTAATTGGTCCAACACCGATATTTTCTTCAACTTAATCACTTGTGTAACTCAACATGTGTGTGAGATTTTATCATACTAGGGCTTGGTGCTATTAGTATAGAACCACTCACTTATGTATTGTATTTTATTTTGTCAATTTCCCAATATGGGGATTTATCATGGCAAAAAGCTCTCATCGGTAGTTCATGATATAACAACTGACAAAACAGCTACAATTAATTCTAAAACTTCTTCAGATTTGTAGGTATTCATGTGCAAGTTCATCACTTAATATATGCATTTTAAGTTTTGTTAAATAAAGGAGTAGAAGATGAATTCAACCCAAAAATCTTAAGCTCCTATGGTGAAGAAGTCAAGTCTTGCACACACAGCAAGGACCATATCTGTAGAGGGACGGAGCTACCGTAGAGGTCCCCAAAGATGAAAACTGCAGTATCATGAGCATTGTCATTGGGGTAAAGAACATGGTTGTCATGGTTTAAACCATATTTATTTCGTCAGAATGAGCTACATTTTGAATTGGGGAGCATGTTTACATCTTTATGTATAATCGTTCTTATCTGCAGCTTCAAATTGAGGGGGTATATTTCATTCATTTCTATTTGCAATACAAATCTTCCTTGAGGTTCTATGTGGGGTGAATAAAAAATTTAAGTTCCAATTTGGTTATACTTGTTGAGGTACTTGATATGTTCATCTTTCTTTGTTTGGCGGGCATTGGAAAATAGTGTATCCTTAGAGTGGTTTAAGAGCTCACGTGGATTTAGGCCATGTTGGGTGGTTAAATACTAGGCTATGGTACCAATTGTTAAGAGCACATAGGTAGAACTGGCCCCTAAAAACCGGCTTGTAAGGGAAGGGTGCCCAAGAGGTCTTAAACCACTCTAGGATATGTTAATTTTCCAATGTGGAATCTTGAGTCCCAACATCTAATCCCTCTTTGATGTATGAAGTGTAATGGGGTTTCTTAGCTAGCTAATTCTCAGTCCAAAACAAAATTATTGTTCTTATTAGTTCTTTCTTCCCGGCCCCCAGTACTGTTAAGATCATAGACTCATAGTACATGTGCCTAGTAGTTTGTATACTCTATCTTCTGGCATTGAGCATAACACAAATAATCGTCTTGTTATATGGGAAACCTGAATAATCACAGAACACCATCATTGATGGTGAAAAAAAAAACAAGGTTTAATTTTTTGAAAATATCATATTAGAGATTTTGTGATTGCAGTACTATATTTAATTTCATTAATGTGAGTTGATTGATTTTGACCTTTTTTTGTATTCTGATACAGCATGCAAGATACTATAAAACGATACCACAAACATGCAAAGGCTGGGCAAACCAACAAGATTGAAGTGGAAGAATATGTGGAGGTTAGAAGCTCTATCTTGGAATTTGGATTAATCCATCTTTGAGAAGTTGTTATAAAACAGATGGATGAATAATCTTTGGCCATGTTTGATGATTGGGATTGGATTAGGAAGGTAGAATTAGATTCCATTGGATATTGGAAATGATAACACTAATCCAATGATGTGTTCGATACTTCACATGATTAAGGAAGGGGTTTTGGATTAATTAAAATGTGCTATTAGTATTAGACGTATTCCAATCTAACTTAATCTCAACCTTTTGGCTCTAGTAGGATTAGACATTAAAGCCGTACAGCCCTCCACTGTTACATCTCTAGAGCAATCGTTACCTTTGGATCATATATAGCTCGATCAACATACACATGACCAATCTGATTGTTAATACACACGTGATTGTTCAACTGATTAGGGTTAAGCTGTTAGTTTAGTTAGAAGAGAATCCTTTTAGTTATTAATGTAAGCTTCACTCTTTGGCTATATAAAAGCCTCCTTGTAATGATTATTGCATAATAATGAGAAATTCAGTTTTTACAATTCCCTTTAGACATAACACAATCCATGTTGTTTTTAGGCTGCTAAACATTTTGACTAGGATTACGAATCCTATCCAACTACATAATCCAACTCACCAAACGGACCCTTAGTAACTTAGATAGAAACAAGTATGATGTAAAGACTAATTTAGTCATACTGATATTAGGGGTAAAAACAAAACTTCTACATTTTTTTGCTTTTTCAGATGAGTAACTTTATAAAATAGAAACGAGTATGTAACTTTACTACTTATTTTTCATGACAATGACCTCTTTTAGCGGAAATGATTTATTTCAGGCTAGAAGCTTATAATTACAAACCTAAAGTTTAGAGTTCTACACCTATATATATATATGATGAAGGGATCCTAGTCGATCGGCCTTGTAGATTCACAAAAATTAATTTGGAATCCTTTGATAGATAGAGAAAAGGGTTGTAAATGGTGTGTCAAAGCATGGTGTAAAGAAGAATATATAATATATACATGAGTTAAAGACTGAAACTTAGAGCATTCCACTCAATGCGACCAAGTAGTGTTTCCCAAAAGTAACGGAGGAGTATATGAACAAGATGCTAAATGTCAAAATCTGTTAAAATTAGGCACACAATTGAACAAGTTGCGCGTATTTTGGCTCTGGGAATCATGTATTGCCAAAGGTAAGCATGAAAGAGGCTATGTCAATGAGTTTCTGGGGTTGTTCTTGCTTTTTCTTCCTATTTCCTACTTGGTTCTGATACCTAGTTATTAGTCCAGACATATGAAGTGTTAAAAACATGCAGACGCATTTGTTTATGTACAAATATGGACTTGTTGCTTCGTGAAATATAATTTCTTGGATTTCATAAGTTCAGCTACACCTACACGTCCGTCTTCTTACATGTAATTAAGCTTCATGTTTATTTATCAACAATGGGACTTGGTACATAAATGATCATCAAATCAAATAGGGTAAAAGAAGAGAAGTCGGGGAGGGAAGAAGGGGGGCTTCAAGTTGTTGAACTAGGTTAACTTTTGGCAAGTCCTATTACATGTCGCTCATGACATTTTATTCGTTTACAGTTGACAAGTTAAACCTATTTGCATGCAGCAATTGAAGCATGAATCGACTGCCATGGCCAAGAAGATAGAGAACCTAGAAGCTTCTCAACGGTTTATGGCTTAGTTTGATTCTTCGCCTGTACTTTTTAACTCATCTAACATTTCACTAGACAGGTCTTCCTAAACCCTGAATTTTGTATATCTCAGGAAGCTTTTGGGACATGGCTTGGACTCTTGCTCTGTCGAGGAGCTCCAAGAGATCACTGGCCAGCTGGAGCGAAGTGTACGCAACATAAGAGAGAGAAAGGTATATATATATTTCACCTGTTCACTTATTTCCTGCCATTTTTATCAGTTCAATAGGAGAGGAGAGGTTAAGTTAACTAGAAGTGATTTCCATTCCAGGCTCATTTATTTGCGGAGCAGATGGAACAATTAAGGGCAAAGGTATTTATTTCAAGTGCCACAGACTAATAATAGTAATTTGTACGTATAGCGTTCAAGTACTTGTTCACTGGTTTTAATTAACACCAATATCTTTATCTCCTTGAAAATCAGGAGAGGCTCCTCTTAGAAGAGAATGCAAAGTTAAGTGAAGAGGTGAGCCTTTAAATTTGAACCCCTGTTTTACATTACCGCTACCATCACCACCATGGTGCCTTGTGAGTTTTCTGGTTTTTGTCTTATATTTTTCTGCATTATTATGATAGTTTGGTGCACAGCCGAGGCTGCAGCAGCTTTCAGTTGAAGAAAAAGGAGCTGTGAGCTACTGGAGTCAAAGTAGCCTGAGTTCTGAGGTGGAGACTGAATTGTTCATCGGACCGCCGATAACGCGCTGTTGAGAGATCACAGCCGCCCAATCGTCTTCTAAGTCAACATCAGATATAATAATATTAATGCTCGTCAATAATCTCTAGACAATGCCATCAAAAATACAAATAAACAAGAAAATAATGTAATATGGATCACGTATCTTTGTTAGGACGTGCTCTCAAATAATAAGGTCAAACAATAAAAGATCTAGGAATTGATTTCCTCCGACTCCTTTCACCCTGTATGTATATCTTGCAAAATTTGACATTGTAACATTATATATAACTGTATTCAACTTCATTTTTGAAGACGTTTCCTATTGAGAGAGGTTATAGAATACTAAACTCACACACACTACACGGATGTTAGAACTCGAATTCAGAACCTTACCTAATAGAGTAAATATTCTAAACCACTATACTAATGAGTCCTCTGCAAAAAGTGTTTAAAAAAAAAAAACCTGTATTCAACTTCATGACAATGATTTGCCTAGCTTTGTACCTACCTCCCCCCACCACAAAAATAAAAAAAGAGGATTGGTTGGGTTGTATAACTTGGGCTGGCCCAAAAGATAGTTGTAAAAATTCATTCAAATTGGGCTTCATGCATGATTGGAATTGGACTGAGGTTCATCTGTTTGATATTTACAGATCCATAAAAACTATTTTTTTGGGCTTAGAAATGAGTATTTTTTGTTTTTCCTAATAAGCACTATTTGTAAATTATGTTTGTGTTCCTAATTAAGCACTATTTGGTCGTAGAAAGTAATTTCATATCTTACATTACATAAGTGGAATTTCGTAGAGGAAATTTGGGTATCTTTCTCTGTGTGTCTTAATAATGGTTGCCTGCTGCAACATGATTTAGGCATGCACAAAAATAAAACAAGGAATGGGACCTCTTTGTATCTAAGTCTCTATTACAGTATGTTTCTCCTTGTTTTCCCATCTTCAATAATTAGTTTCTTCTTTTTTATTTATTTTGTCTGTCTATACAGAATATGTCCCACCATCAACCCTACAAAAGTCCCTACTAATCTCTCCAGCTACCCTGTCAAACTCTAAGTCCCACCATCACCATTCATCATTCACCAGTCGCTCCTATCTGTCTAACTATAGACATAGTTGATAATCATATGGCCCTAGCTAGCTAGGCACTGAATTTGGTTTTTTCCTCTTTTTTCTGAGTTAAATGTGACAGGCAGGGACTGAGTTGTTTTATTATATTTGTGGTGGATTCCCGGGAAGAGGACCACTTTGAATTTGAAATAGCTCTCTCTCTCTCTCTCTCTCTCTCTCTCTCTCTCATGGATTCAATTTAGAATGAAGAGCAAATGTAAGTCGTCAGGAATATGATGTAGGGGAGGAATCTACCAAGTTTTGCGCAACATCTGAATCAGATGACCTCACCCCTTTATCAGATACTCTTTACAAAATTTAGATAGGATAAGGTAATATCCATAATCTTTATATAAAAAATTACTTGTCCCACTTCCTACTAAATATACTATATCATTGTGCTAATCATGTTACCATCAGCATGTGACCCTGAAATTGGTCGAAACCCATTTCTTAAACACAAATGTCATCGATACTAGTGTAATTTTAATCTTGTTATACACCATAAGAAAAATAAATCAATATAAATCACTGCACTTATACAAAAAGCGCAAATACAATGGAGCGATCCTTCAAATAAACTTATGTAAGTATTTCCTGCGATTTTAGGACCAGCTGAATTAGCTTCATTTTTTTTTTTGTCTGAACCGCGAGGTGGTCATGGATGAGCCCCAACTATGGGTGGCACCTTTAAGCCTTAACCACAATCCAGACTAATCCCCGCCCTCACCGGATCGGCTCGTAAGGGGTAAAGTGCTGGCCAAAATGGTGACTCAATACGAGAGCAGGGATCGAACCCCTGACCTCTCTTAAGGAATGAGAGTGCCGAACCACTCACACCAACCAACTTGGTTAAATTAACTTCATTTTTAACTTTGATGATAACATTGTAAATCTTTATAGAATTCTGACAATTGGGTATGATTTATTTTTATTTTTCTCTTGAAACATAAAACTTGAATAATTTCAGTACGTAAAAAAGCCAGGTGTCATGTCAAGGAAAGAATAGAAGCATTTTAGGTTTAAGCCATGCTTGTGGTCCCCAAAACTCAGAAAACGCTCTGGCCAGTCACCGAAAAATCTGAGTCAAGTGGGATTTCTATGCACAGTTTTTGGGGTCCATATGCATGGCATGATGGCAGCCATTGCCATATGGTTTGGTTTCATCTGTCCAATTGTCCTCCGCTGCAGATTTCTCTGTTCACGCAGTGGCTGAGTGGCTGAAGCAACAACACAGTCACAGTGCATGATTTTAATTTCAAACGAAATTTGGGTCGTTTTACAATATATATATATATATATATATAGGCTCTGCTGCGTACTTGTTGTGTATACAAACAAACCAAACTTAGCAATGGTACGTATAAAAAAAAAGGTAAAGATTGGCCAACAACTTTTATATCATTAGTCTGTTAATTATGAATTTCATACATGCAAATTAGGAAAGGAAATCAAATTCTTAAATGGATGTTTGTAAATCTCAATCCCCGTGTGTGAGAAAAGTAAATATAAAAAATTGGGATGTTTTCTATGTAAATGTAATATACCGACAATCGTTGCAGTATTCATAATTATGTATAGCTTCAAACTTATGGAAATTACTGTTCATGACTATTTACCCCTCCTGTGACAGAGAAGAACGCTGTTTAGGATTGTGTAAACAGTCTTCTGATCCATGATGGTTTAAGGTTTAACATATATATAGAAACTACACACACACACACATATATATATATATATATATATATATAAGGCTGCATGCATATGTTATGTTATATAAGAATTTCTCTGTCACAGGAGCCGTACGTATATGTTCCTAAGAAAATTGATGTGATCCTCCTGAATTCAAGTGGAGCTTATAATATTTATATTTTGTGATAAGAATATTATACGTACTACATTTTGTTTGTTAATATTGTGGTTTGATCCAAGAGAGATATATATAGGTTATGAAAATTTCAAAAAAATTGTTATAATTATTACTACTTGTGAAGTTGTGAAGGAAGGAGGAGGAGGTGGAATGGTATGGTACTCAGTCATCAATTATTGAAATCAATGACACCTTTGAGTTTATGATACACATTTGTACTGTCCTTGAGGCTTGGGTTAAGTTAAGCCTATAACCATGGTTAGTTTGTTATGGCTAGCATCAGAGAGAAAATCAAACTATACACCTTTAAATAAATATTAGATGCTCGCAGATCCCCAATATACACCTCCTCGTCCTCGTATATCAAAAACCCATCAGGGGCTGTGCTGTGTGGGAATCACTTTGACACTGCATCTACACTCAAATATATATATATATACATATCTAAAGCGAAAGAGAGTGCTAAAGAGGTGCGTGGTCATATCGTCATCTTTTTCATTTCTTTGCATATAAGTTCCATTTCCCAATGAGAGAGAGAGAGGGAGAGGGCACAAGTAGTTGTTTTCTTGGTTTTGGTCTGGTAAAAGCTTGAGAGTGAGTGTTTAAAAAACAACACCAAGATAAAAAGAGATAAAAGGAGGTAGTGTGGGAGAGAGAGACAGAGATACCCGAAAACTCACACTGACCCCTTTGCAGTTTTTGCTATATACTTATTGATTTCCTCAAATCAAATTGTAGCTCTCTCTCTCTCTCTCTCTCTCTCTCTGTTTATGCTTCATGGATCCGCTTTTAACGCTTCTTCATGAGATCACAGCATCCTCCCCAGTCCCCACAAGCTTTTCTGCTTTTCTTTCGTTCCAAACTCTCACAAACCATGACCAGTCCTAGTCTATTTTTCTTTCTGCAGCTGCTCTAAAGTCTTACTTAACACTACTGGCTGCTTGCTACCTTCTGTCCTTTTCATAATTTCATTCCTGTTTTCCCATTGTTGGAGAAGCAAGCTTTTCATCCAGACCCACGATCAATCTTTTTGGTTCTTGTTGAAAACCCAAAGAGAGGTTTTTTTTTCTTTTTCATCTTTTGGTTTTCTAGTTATGGGCATGAGGGAGTGGTATTGGGGTTCTGGAAGATCTTCAAAGAGAGGTAGAGGTGGCGGAGGAGGACCAGCTGAGAAAGACATGACCACCTCTTCTGGTTGCATGTGTGCTGTCTTTCAGCTCTTTGACTTCCATCAACTTCAGCTTGCCAACTTACACCACCCACAGCAACCCTCTTTCAACACTTTCCACCAAGAAGATCTCACTGTCCCCAAAGGTCCTCTCTCTCTCTCTCTCTCAACGTTTTCTTTTAAGAATATATATTTTTGAGTAATTAACAATGTAGTTTTGTGGAATTCATCAGGTGTTGAAGCACCTAGGAACAGCTTGGATTCATCAGAAGGGACTTCACTGTCATCTACCACAAAAGAAGAAGAAAATTTAAATAGTCCAGTAAGTTTCACTACTACTAGTACCAATGCTGATATATATATATTTTTTCTCTTTAATTTGTTTCCCCCTTTTGGTGCTTTTAAAAAGTAAGTAATGATGATATAATAATGATGGAACTGGACCCTTTTGTGTTGTGCAGATTTTGAAATTCCAGATGGGTATGCAGATCAAAACAAGTGGAGGAGGAGGAGGCAGAACATCTTCAGCTGATTTTTCATCAGATATTAGCTCACCAGGAACAAAGACCCCCAATTTGGTAGCAAGGTTAATGGGTCTTGACCTTCTTCCTGATCAAATCCAATCACCCTCTTCCACTTCATCATGTAGTAGCACCACCACTCATGCAACTTCAAAGTCAAAAGTTCGGACTCGGAAAGCCCTCCAAAGTAGACCAAGACGACATGTCGTGGATATGAGCGACGCTACTAATACTGCAGCAGCTGGTACTCGTTCACTGCCTGAGACTCCAAGAATCTCATCAGCCAGAAGATCAGACGTTGATCTTCATCACCGCCTTTCGCTTCAAATCAACAAAGAGAATGTTGGGGTGGGGGGTGCTGAGGAACTGGATTTTTGCAGGTCTTCATCTTACAAAAGGAGGGACCTAAAGCTGATTAATTTTGGAGATCATGAGAATGTTAAAAGCCCAAGCCACTATGCTAGGCAGATTGTGAAGCAGGTGAGAGAAAGTGTTAGCAGGAAAGTTGGTTTGGACATCACAAACACCACCAGACCAGTTAACAGAGACAAGCAAGGCAGAGATGAGGTCCTTCACCAGCTTAAATCCAAGAATGGTAATGCTGCTTCCAAGAGTTTAATCAGCAAGGAAGACTGCTCTCCCAGGCTCAGATTCTTGGGGCCCAAGACTACTACTACAACGCCTGCATCATTGACAGCCAAGGATCAAATTCAACTATTTCCTCCAAAACCCAAATCACCTCTCTCATCTTTACCTCCCAAGCCAAAGCCTGTGCAGCAGCCACTGAAAGAAGAAAAACAGCAGCAGCAGCAGCAGAAAAGCCAGACATCAATTCAAAAGCGTAGAAAATCTGCTCATAAGCAACAGGAGGAAGCATTTGTTAGTCCATCAACAGCTACAAGAGCCATCCATAATAATATTCCAGCTGACAAGAAATGCAAGAAAACCCAATTATTGTCAAGCAACAATGTCCCTACCATTCTTCCAATCAAGAAAGATCCTTCACCTCCAGCTACCAAAATCCCCCAGAAACAGGTACATGTTTGTCAAGTTTTTATTAATCTTAACTGGGTTGAAATTTAATCAAAGATCAAATATTCCAATGTTGCAAAATTATTCTTGGTAGCTAGCAAGCTAGAGTTCGTAGTACTTTGACCGTTTATATTATTCTCTCAACTTAAACTTATTATAATTATTGTTTTGTTGCAATGCGTTATGCAAAATAAAGCAGGCACAACAACAAGTATCTGAATCTGACGCCCAACAATCGAAACGTAGGTGGTCACAGTTATCTAGTTCCACGAGCCAAACGTACAAACAACAACAAGAGCAGCAGCAAGTGAGCCGGAGGACCCCCCATGAGCTCGCCACCCGAGACATCATCAACATGCCTAACGGTGGCGCCACCAGTTCAGCCACCGCTGCCGGCTCTGCTGGTGGAGCAGCAGCAGAGGCAGAGCTGCTCCAGTACGTCACAAGAATATTAAGCCGTACTGGCATTGATAAAGACACCCAAGTTTCCTTCACCAACTGGTTCTCTCCGTCTCATCCACTAGACCCTTCCATTTTTCACCACCTTGAAAATTCTAACGTTGTTGATGTTACTGGTCAACTTGGTCAAAGGTGCAACAGGAAGTTAATGTTCCGTGTGGTGGATGAAATTTTGGTGGAAATTTTGAGGCCATATATCAACATGAAGCCATGGGTTGCAACTAGCTCAAATAATATTGGCATGTGGAATAATATGAATGGGTCAGAACTGGTTAACATTTTGTGCCACAAAATCCAGAGGTTTCCGTGTGCCGACTGTCAGGTTCTTGAAGACATTGACGATTTAATTGACAAGGACATGCCTGCAGAGTCGAAGGTGCAAAGTGAGATGGCGTTTGAGGAAGAAGGAGAAGGGATCGTTAGGGAGGTAGAGAAGGACATACTGGACACACTCATACATGAAACGGCTAGGATCCTATGGTTTTGAATTTTTTTGATCAATTGAGTGCCAAAACGGCGCCGTAGGGTGCATGCAGAAAGGGTCAGAGAGTGGACTGGGGTCACATGGGTGGTTCACGTGATGAGATGCTATTGGTCCGGGGGGGTGGGGGTGACGTGGCAGATTGGGAGCTGTAAAAATGTGGGGTGGGTGACACGTAAGGGCTTGACAGCCCCGACAGCAGTGACAGAGGACCCTCAGAGTGCTCAGAGGAGGGAATCCATTGCCTTCTCTCCAGCCTCTTGTAATTTGTAAATTTTTGCTCTCTCTTTCTTTCTCTCTCTTTTTTCAAAATTATTTGTATTATTCTTTGCTTATTATAAAAGTTCGACGTTATATATAAGTAAGTACATCTTGTTTTGGTCTGGTACGGATGTCTAATTTATCATGTAACATATATATATGGATAATATGGTCTACCACTACCACCCACTGTTGTATCCGTTATAGTTGCAGTTGCAGGTATCTCCACCATTTCTTTATTTGTAACACAACAATCAATGCCAATTTGTTACCATTTGGGATTGCGAAGAGGTATATGCCATGGAGAATCCTAAAGGATTTGGTTCTCATAAATATATATATTATTGTCATTGGGGTCTGAGCTTTTTGCTGTGCTCCAAATTAGGTGGGTTCTCCTAACTAAAAAGATGGTTAATTTGCACAGCCAGTGGCGGTACAAGAATGAACGTGGCTTCTGATTTCCTCAAAAGAAAAAGCTAATACACAAAAAAGTAAATTCTGAAAAAAGCCAACCTAAAAGTTGTGCATGCCATCAAACTTTTATGCATATATGCGTATGCATGCATGATTGGAAACGTTTAAACAAGGAGGAACCACTCGCGCTCGCGCGCTCTCTCTCTCTCTCTCTCTCTCTCTCTCTGGTAGCGGAAGACTGTATTAAAGAGGAGGAGGAGGAGGAGGAGGAGGAGGAGGAGGATTAATTTGATAATAATGCAAAGCATACATCTCTGCTCTTATCTTCTCCTCTATATTTTAAGCCTCACGTTATATATACTAGCTAGGGACAGTTAGGTCAAACAACCTATAGAGGAAGTAAAAAAAAGCGTTTTAGTTGCCATTTAATGTTTCCAATAATAATCTTGCATATAGAGCAAAAAAGCGTGGCAGCAGTGACTGACTAGTGAGCTAATAAAACGCTACAGATATAGAAAGAAACTGAGCGGGAAATTCAAATCAAATGCCATATTGCAAATGACATAATAATATATATGCATGTGGGTTGGTGCATATAGGAGGGGAGGGTGGGGTTTAATTATTGGTGTTGACGAATGCAGAGAAATATCAGGGTGGAGATCTGAGGGTTGACTGCATCCAATTAATGATGATTGAGGCGTTTGGGGTAAGAGCTGAAGTTACCTATAGCTTATGGATCTGTATTTTTCTAAGCTTCCCTCCCTTCCTTGAGATGTGTGATATATGAGTTTGGCACCTCTAAACATTAACTTTAAAGGGTATATGAAATTCACGAGGCTGGCTAGAATGAGAGAGAGTTAATGGCTTGATCGAAAAAATGCAGTACTTGTTTCATTCATGCTACCATAACGTACGTTTTTGTTGTGTAAAGTATTTACTCATGTCTCATTTATATATGCCATGCCACCATAGAGAGAGAGATGAGAGAGGCAGAGGGATTTTACTTGCTTTCACTCAAATGGGCAATATAGAGAGAGAGAGAGAGAGAGAGAGAGAGAGAGAGAGAGAGAGATGAAATCGATCCATGTTCATTTCCCTCTGACGTGACAAGTTAATAAAAGAGAAGAGAGCGGTAGCCAGTGAAAATGATGGAAACTTTGAGCTGGGTTGGGTTTGCAGGTTCAAAATTTGAAGAGTTGCCTAACTTTCCCCAACATCTTAATGCAGAAATTAAATAAATTGACAGGAGCACAGGGCTTGACCAACTACTGTCCTGAATTACTCCACACACACAGCATCTTCATGAAAGTTACTCTGAACTCAATCAATGTTATGATTATAATTGCATATATATCAGAGCCTATGAGACTAGTAGAGTAGTAGACTTAGCGTTAGCAGGTAGGTTAGGTAGGACCAAGGGGTTAGCCCACAAACAAACAGCCAAGTGGTCCTTGTTGGTTTCGTTGCTAAATCAGCTTATTATTCTCAATCAATATAAAGTTTAATCTTGGATTTATTTACCCACTTCTTTTAATTAAGCTTGAGACATTTTAAGGAGGTGCACCAACTTATTGAACAAATGTTTAAATACAAGCGATGGTCTAAATTATAAGAGGAGAAGGGTTTTTCACACACACTACCAAGGCGCAACGAGGGCTTGAACGCAAGTATGCAAGTCAATGCCTTTTTCCACACAACTATACCCCTTTAGCAACTTATCCAATAATGTTTCATTTGTTTCATATATGAGTTTACTCTCAACCTTATTTATTCACAGTAAATTAGAAATTATTATATTAATTAATGACCACAACATGGTGGGAGAAGGTGTATGTTTTTATCACTCATCTGCCCCAACAAAGAGCCCGGGGTCCATAAACGGCCTAATTTTTGACAAAAGGATCAAATAATGCAGAGACAAGATAAGACGTGATTTCGATCCAAAAAAAAAAGATAAGACGTGATGGCACTAGAAAGACTTGCACCTACTTCACTTTTGTTATACGAAAATGGGCTCTGGCAATAATTTTTTCAAATCACAACTCTTTCGTATCATATTTATTCATAAAGTTCAGCTGTACTGTTACGATTTTCCGTAATAACTCTCTCTCTCTCTCCCTGTCTGTATGTACAATTCCGAGCGCTCAGGTTGGCTGGTTAGATAAAGAAGATCTGCAGTGTGTGTGTGTGGAGTGGCAAGCGTAGCATTGTGTACCACCACTAGCAAGTAGCAACAAAATTACCTGTCATGTTAGTTAAAATTTTGGTGTACCTTCCGAGTAACGGGCTAAAAAAATAACCTACTTTTGGAATGTTAGACAATTCCACGAACCCTATACCCCATTGAAATTAGACACATAACTTAATTGCTTCTACATGAACATGATCATGATCATGATCATAATCATGTCATATAATTTGATAATGATGATGAATAATTAACAACTACTTTCTTGATTTTTGCTTAGTAAGATTATATTGGTAAAAATACACGGGTGGGTGGGAAGAAGCAATCAGAAGTCAGAAAGGTCAGCTTGCATTTCTCATACGAAATGCTAAATACAATTAAAGAATACAGGGGGAGAAAAATGGGCTAAACAATATATTCAGTGATTGAGCGGAAGTAATGCTGCTACTTATCATCCAAGAGCTTCCAGCACAGAGAGAATCCAGAATAGTGCTCCTAAGCATCAAACCCAGCACCTGTCCAGCCAGGGGCGGGAGGTCCCCTGCCCTTAGAATAGTGCTCCTAAGCATCAACCCCAGCACCTGTCCAGCCAGGGGCGGGAGGTCCCCTGCCCTTGGGCACAGCTCCAATTCCCCTCGCTTTTCCTTGGAATTGACTTTTCTTCTTTAGTCTTCCTTCTCCCTCAGCAGAAGGCTGCTGATTGTGCCCATTTGTGACCAAAACATTTCCACCATTTCCTGGATTAGGGGTGTTTGCAGTGACTCCTCCTGATTCTGTTGATCGGGGAACTGTAGAAGCATCTGGCGCCGTGCCACTTTGAGCAACTCCCATTGATTTCCTATCCTAAACACAGTTCCAAGTTCAAGCTATTAGCATTTCTGTACTAATGATTATATAAATACATATATAAGCATTTGAGTGACCCAAGTTGGTGCCAAGTATAAGATTTCCAAAATATGAATGTTCCCTAGGCATGTAATTGTTAAGGAAAAGAAGCAACTTGATTTGGCCCCTAAGGTAGGCATACCCCTGGGGCTCAAACTTACAGTGAAATATCCCAGATTCCTATATGGTATCTTTCAACTAACTCCTGCACTGCATAGTGCATACAGGAAATGCAATCTGTCTGACACCAACATGAAGCAAAAACAATTTCTTGGAAGATAATGAGAAAACAAAAATTTACAAACATGCAAACTACACTGAAACATAACCTTTCCTTCATCTGATAAACACGCTTGATGCAGTACAACGTTGCATACTTATGAATTACACACACACATACTATGACTAAACTTCATTACTATTACTGATTCTCAGACAACACGAAATTCACTCCAATCAATAACCATGATGACAATGCCATCTAGCCCATCCATGATGTTATAAATATGATCCTCAAATATGAAAAGATAACATACATAAGAAACAGAGGTCGATGATCTGCTTGGGTTCAAAGCTTCTAGTCGTCTTTTTAACTCCTCCAGTCTTGTAAACTGAGAACTGCTGCTTTCTTGTACCTGTTAAACCAACAGTGTCAGAACCAATTTTTCATAACTGTAACCTAAAGGATGCGTTTAACTATGTACCAGTTGGTTTAAGTCTTCACACAGATTCTGCTTGATAGCTTCCTCGTCCTTTACAACCTGTACTGCTGCTTCCCACGCCTGAAATACATCAAAACAAATCAGACTGCATAGACAATAAAATTCATGCACCATTGGAAATGATTTGACACATAACCACATTCAGCTGAGTGTATACAATCATCAAATCTCTATCCATTCGTTGCAGCTATGAGTTTTGTGATGAATCTGCATTCATGCGTCTTCATCCATCCCTGATGAATTGTGTATGGCTGGTGTAACTCTTAGATTTTCAACTTTAACTCCACCACATCACCCAATTCAATCTTGCTTTATTATAATTAGACAAAAGCAGACCAATTTTATTCAAAAACTTTGATCTTTAACTATACTAGGTCATCTTGCTCAAGTTGAATAAAATGTATCAATTTTCATGAGCATTTGGGAAACATGCAGGAGAGTTTTGTTCAATATTTTATGAACGCCAAACAGAGCAATACTATGTAAGGATGAAGGCAACTCTTTTCTATAATTAAAAGGAACGAACCTTTCGTGCTTGTTCTTCCTTCAGCTTGGCAGCATGAATTCTCTCTGTTGACGTCTCTATTTTCTTCCTCAAATGTTCAAGAGCTTAAGAAGATGCACCATACACAGAAAGTAAAAGGAAAAATACGATTAATCAACTTTTAATATACATGAAGAGAAGAAAACTCATCAAACTGCAGAATATGAGTAACTAACAACGATAAGGCAACAACCTGATTTTTTTGGCCCAGCCGTGAGCTTCATCTCCATTGAAAGATTTGTCAGCTCTCGCTCGACATCACGAATTTTAGTATAATTTTCTTGAATGTATCTGAAGCCATTCATCAGTTTCAAATCATAAATAATTAATCTTCCTGAATATGGGTAATTACAATACACTAATACAGCAATGCCCGTTGAAACAAATCCAAGAAACATAAAGACATTTGAGGACCAAAAAAGATAGAATCAACAACTGAACTGATGATCCCGTGTTCTAAATTAAAGCATTACATAATTCATGACTCGAACACAGGAGAACCAAAACCAGAGAAAGCTTCCAATTTTAAAAGTATGTTGACTTCCCACACCTCTTGACCACAATTGTTCACATCCTCGAACTGATTACAAAACAGTTTTTCCATTGCCATTATTTCCAACTATTGAACTAAGCTAAAGAATCTCCCTTGAGTTCCGGTTTAACCCTAAACTTCTTGTTTTCCCGGATCCCTAATTCTCAAGCAAATTTCATTTCTAAGCAAATTTCATTTCACTAAATGCAGAATGCAATGATCATCTGATTCATTTCTGTCATAGATTGGAGCAATCATTCAAGTGTAATTACTGCATTAATGCTTCAACACACAATTCAAGCAATTAAAATTCCCTAAAATGATACATATAAATATTAGCACATAGTAGAGTGAATAGAAATGTGTGTTCAAACGAAGCCTACTTACTTCCTTAATTGATTCTGTTCTTCCTCGATGACCTGCCACAAAACCGAAACAAATACACATTCAACAAATCGCGAAAAACAGAAAGAAACAGAAAGAAACAAAAAGAAGAAGGAGAAGAAAGACGAAATAGAGAAATTGATATAGAGAGAGAGACCTTCTCAGTGTATGTAATGACAGAAGCCTCTCGAGCAAGGCCATCGGCTCCGATCTCAGGCAGCAGAGAAGGATTCGAATTCGAAGCCATTATGTTTCTTATTCGAATTTGAACCAGATGGCAATGGCTTCTGATTCAAACTCTCAAACATACAAAAACCCAACCCATTTTCTTTTCTTTTGTTTTCTTCCCTATATATTCGATTAGTGAATACGTCGTCTTCTTCCTTTCTCTCGTTTCTCTTTCTGCTCAAAAGAAACGTGATTATCCTTTTCTTAAATTTAGGAAAAACATGTATTTTGATGGAGATTAATTTTTTTTGTTACAATAATAAACTTTTCTTGAGATTACTTATTTGAAAATGATTATACAGTCCGATGGATTTAATTTGGTGGGCTTTAATCCGTTTCGACGGGCAGCCGCAGGTCATTTACCTCGAGATTATTTGTAATGACTAAACTGCCCTTGTGAAATGGATCCCCCTCATCATGCACGGATTATTGGATCTTGTGGGCTATATCATGTGCTGCGCCAACCGCACATGCAAACGTCGCGGTAAAAGTCCAACTGTTACGTATTTTGATGCCAGAAGTCCAACGAATTGTGTAAAACCACCGTTGTTAGTCATTATACTCTTTTAATTTTATAATTTTTAAAAAATACATTTTCAAACACAAGACTTCGAGTGTATAAGTAAGTAACCACTCGAGCTACAAAAGCATCTATTTTTAATACGTTGGGATCTAGAAAATTAAGCATGAAGAAAATTCTAAAAATATATAAAAATTAAACAACTTGTTTTAAAAAAAAGTTTCATTCACAAATGCAATTATGCTAACATTTTGGACTTCAAAATTTATTGGCTGGCAGTGGTTTATATTGATAAAACCACTACATCAGTGTACACTTTCAAAGCAGAGAGACACCTCCTGAGTGCTCAAGTGTAATAAAACAAGCCAGGGTGGGGCTAATACGAAACTTTATAGTAGGGAGGTCCTCCAGGAGCAAAAAGCTCAAAGGTATCTCAGCAGGGGAAATGAAACTCAAATTACACTAAGGTTGATGGATGATACATGAATACAGTGACTGACTGACTCTCGTCTCTACTTTTTATCAGCAACCTGAGCTAAGCACCGAAGCACAGCTTCTCTTGTTGGCATTGCAGGAATGGCTCCTCTTTCTGTTACTGTGAGTGCACCACATGCATTAGCAAAGAGTAGAGCTTCTCGTAGCCCCTGCTCATTCTGCAAGTGAAATTTTATGGGTGAGTTTCAGATGCAGGAAATATATGAAAGTATTCAATGGGGGGATGATTTTCTCAATCCCTTGCAAGAACTTTATGCACCTGAAAAAGACTCAAGTCAGAAGCTATGCTGTTCAGTACCCCACTGACGAATGCATCACCGGCACCAGTCGTATCAACAGGTTTAACTTTAACACCAGCAACCCGGCCCCGAAATTTCTGAGGAATATTGGTTGGTGTCAATTTTCTTATAACCAATCAATGTGATACAGAGAGTAAAGTGGAAAAAAGGCGAACCCCATTCCTATTGTTCCACAATTTTTTCTTATAACAAAAATATGAATGCCTCTTCACTACCAGATGAGCCATAACATGGTGTTGAGGCCACTGACTTTGTAAAGGGGGGCCAAGTTATGCCAACAATTGTTTTTCCAATTAAGAACAATGCGATGACAAACTTTTACAGTTTCTATCTTATACGGTGTGGAAAGGACAAAATGGCATGATTGTTCTCGAAATAACTTACTGAAGTCAGAAGTAACATAGTTTAGTGAGCTTTTATCCAAGATAGGAGAAAGACAATGAACATAGAAAAATAAAATAGATTTCACAAACTTACCTGAGTGTAATATCTGCAACCCTCTGATCCTTCAGTTACTACCAACAGTTTAAGGTTGGGATTAAAAAGCTTGGTTAACACCACATTATCATCATAAGGATCATCACCGCCAGTCAGGAAAGTGATTTCATCCTCACTTATCTGCAAGTTTGTATATAAGAAAAAACCTGATGAACACCATGGCTACAGATACAAACAGAAGATTTGCACCTATGCAACAGCTATACATGAATTTTGTATCTTCAGGTATTATACCTTGATTATATCTGCTTGATCCCATATACTCATTATGCCCTTCCGTGCAGCCTCTTCTGATGGCCACAATGGCAATCTTAAATTTGGATCATAAGAAAGGATGCAACCAGACTTCTTGGCAATCCTCATCGCAGCAAGATGGGTTGACCTGCATGGTTCGTCAATCAAACTAATTGAACCATAATGGAAGATTCTTGCCTGCAGTCAATATCATCTGGATCAGTAAACTTCTGAAAAATGGGCAACCTTCATATATTTTATGCACAGTTTCCTAATTCAAATGAAAAAGAAAGGCACACCTGTTGAATGAGATTTATGTCGAGTTCTGATTCACGTAGAAGCATATCAGCACTTGGATTACGGAAAAACAGGAATTCACGCTCTCCATCAGCTCTGAGCGTAACAAATGCCAAAGCAGTTCTTGCACTGGGATCAAATCGCACCCCAGAATTGTTAACATTGTTTTGCTTTAAAATGTCAGCCAACATGTAGCCAAATTCATCATCACCTACCTGTAATGCAAGTATGTATTAAGTTAAAACAAGGTCAAAATATCATACAGAAAACTCAGGCAGTTTTAAGATTATGCAATGAATGGAACCACTAAAAACCACTAGCTTCCGTAAGAAGACAGGGTCCTTATTATATTGGAGAAAAGGCTAGTAGGATAACATATATATTAAAGAAAAAAACTTTCAGAGTGCAAAGATGTCAAATCTAAAGGTGGTCCCCTGAAACTGTGAGAAAACATCGTTTGAATTACACTTCTAGAGATTGTGAAATGGGCTATATACAAAGAATTGAGAAAGATGCATATTTTGAACCATCTAATACTCAAAAAGACTCAATATACAGTTAACAAAGGGTGGAGAGGGAGATTCAGCAAACAGGATGAAAGTGACATTCTATTTGTCATAGTTCTTACAATTACAACAAAAGGTGACTATAAAATCTTTCGCCATAACAGAGATCCCAGGAGAAAAGGTAAAAGCAAAAGGAAAACATGATAAAACTAACTTAGACAGAAGCAAAATACAGAGGAGGGAAATACTCTAATGCACCTTGCCTATAAAACCTGATGAACCACCCAGTCTTGAGACACCAACAGCCACATTAGCAGGAGCACCACCAGGAGCTTTTTTAAACGCAGGTGCTTCAGCAAGTGAAACTCCACCGACTGTGGGCACAAAGTCAATCAGCATTTCCCCAAAGCAAACAACCAGGGACTTGTCATCTTTCGACCCTCCTTTTGCATCTGAGGAAGGATCTTTAGAATCTTCACCCAGAACCAATTTTTTATCAAGAGCTGCAGTCACATAATTTGAGCATTACAAATCAAACAACAAAAAGGAAAAAAAATTGTCTTTCAACATACTATTTCTCGGCCACCATGTTGCATATTTAGCTGTCCTGGTTTGGATATATGCTTAAGGTCAATTAATACCCAAAATTTCTTAATTTCGAGACATATATTGGGGAAAAGAATTAGCAGCTACAAGATAAAGCTATAAACTGCAAGCCAACTGGTTCAAAATCAAAATCACACAGTTGCACCAAGAAAATACAGATGATGTGATTCGGCATGTTTAGTCAACTAAAAAGGTTCTTCTTTACAGAACAACTGTTTCCCAACTAATCTTCTACTGTTCATTCTGTAATTTTTCAAACAGCTTCAAGACAGTTCACAGATCAACAACCAAACTCATGTTCCGTATAAAGCTTAACATATAATGAATCCATATAAAAGCAAGATTTTTTTTCTTCTTCAAATATATTAAGATTCTGGATCAACTGATAGAGAGCAGTGACATGATTTTTCCCTTGAAAGAAAAGAATTTACGATTAAAGGTGTCTCAAAATTCGGTGCAGTGAACTTTGTAACAGAGATGCAATCAAACATTAAGAGAAAAATATTCATTACTGCGAAAGGAAATTGAACAAAACAGAAACCCAATACAAAGAAAAGCCCAAGAAGAAAGAAATCAGAAATCTTTTTTTGCAAATAAGCAATCTTCAACAAACAAAACTAACTCGAACCCAGATTATGAAAGTTCCCAATGAGATACTAAATGGAATCAAAATCCCAACTTCAATTAGGAAGCATATAATCAAAAAGCAAGTGTACATGTGAAAAACAGGGAAATAAGTGGTAAACTAACCTGATGTGAGATTATTAGCCATTGTAGGAATGGAATTCAAGAGACTGAACTTTAACCAGAGAGCAGAGTATGCAACAAGAAATGGAGAGGGAGAGAGAGAGAGAGAGAGAGAGAGAGAGAAGGTTTGGTGTTGGTGGCTTGGTGAAGTGTAGTTGGTGGTGTTAATAAGGAGAAGGAAACCAAAATAAAGCAAGTAGAGGCTTAATAGGAGGGTAAATTTGCGATCTTGAAGTCGTCTGAGATTGTTGAAGCTGTTATAAAAAGCAAAAGAAACACATATGCAGCCATGGCAATCTCGCAATTTTATAACCCAGATCCTCAGCCTATTCTTACCTGTCTTAGCCTAAATCTTGCCTGTCTTTTCTGACCCATAAAATAAATAAAAATTATATTCCCTTTTCCTCCTGCAATTTTTTCTTTTTGCTTTTTTATTTATTTATAATTATAAGTCGTCAGGGCTACGTGTAAAGCATTTTATATTAGAAAATAACAATTTAATTAACACATCACGCGGTAATTTTTGTTTTTATATTAGAAAAAAAATAGCTTCGCTATTTTTGTAGTTTAAAATATGTACCCTGCAATAAAGTCATATGTTCAATAATCCCCTTCTTCAATAATGCTTTATGTTAAAAAATATATATATAATATTTTAGTATGGATTTGTCCTTGGGCCACATTTGTCTTGAATGGTCTGAGTGGAGGAACTGTTTTTCCTAGAAAACTTTGCATCTTTATTTACAACACTTACGAACAACCAGGTGGTCGATTGTCCACACATTTTAAAGTAAATTGTTTCTGTTAAACAAAAATTATTTATTAATGAAAAGGAGACAAATTGAATTTCTTGTTTGTAAAATTAATTTAAAAAAATGGTTAGAAGCAAGCATGCCGAGCGCAGGCGTTGGACATTTTTGGGCAGCATCCTTATGAGTGTGACTACTGGACTATGCAGCATCTTAAATTTGGAGTGTTTAGGTACTTTTATTGATTAATAAAATCCTTAATTAGTTTATAATTGGTTGTGGGGACCACTTTTCAAATTAATAATAATAATAGGATTAA